TAGTCATTGTCAGAAAATGGACTGATGAGAGACAAGATGGTTTGAAATGCATTCCCCATATAAAAACAAGTCAATAAAAGATGATGATTTCCTAAACAGGCAATAATTCCATTACTGTTATAATAAGTCTAGTATTACAGGTGGATGATGATAGCTGTTAATAAAACTAAGGAACAAATAGACATGAAGCAAATACAAGAAATAATTTTTTACTACAGTGAAACCTGCTAATGTGGTCACCTGTGTAAGATGATCACTTTGAGCTGGTCCCTTCTAGTGGTTGTATTAGCAGGTTTTACTGTTTTTCATAAAGTAAGATATCAAGTATAGATTTTTTTTTATAATAATGCTTTTAATTCTTACATTTTAAATGTTTAATTATAACTTATTATTATATTAAAGTGTACTGTTCAAATGATGATGTAAGCCAGAATATATATTTAATTGTGTTTTTAATTAATGAAATATATTAATGTATATTTTTTTAATGCAAAATATTCTTATTTATACAAGCATTAAATTTAATTGGTAACATTTACTATCCAGTGCATAATTTCCACAACATAGAAAGTTAAAAAAATAAATAATTCATTCAAAAATTATTATTTTGAAATATCAGAAAATTGCCTTTATCATTATTTTCATTACTTATATTTCATGCAATAAGAATAATTATTAAAAGTGTCACAAATTTAGAAATATAGAAATAAAAATATTAAATATTCAATTTAAAAATATTCAATTTGTTATTTAACATAGTAATTTAATATATATATATTTTTTTTCTTTCTTTCTAAATAATCAATTTAAATTTATTCTTCACCACAGTTCAAATTTGCAATAAGTTACTTTACAAAAAAGGTTCAAGTCCTTGATCCTTTCATTTGTTTCTCTAGAATTGAGTCAATGATACAGAAAACTATTGGTAACTAATATGAAGAATAAGAATTTTTTGTTAATTACTTACACTAATAAAACAAATGCATGTTTTCCTATTGTAAAATATAACTTGAAAGCAAAAATAAAATATATATGTCTTAATTTTAAAAAATATTCTGAAAATCATGTCCTGTAAGAATTTGTGTAAATTAACTCTGCATGATTCCAAGTGCTTATTAAAATAATTAGAGCTATAATGCTATTAAAATATTTTTATTATTGAATTCTATTTAAATTTACCAGAAGAATTTCAAAAATGAAAATATTTATCTTGATTTTGATCTATAAAAATTTATAATTGAATTTTCTACACATGAATTATTTCTCCCTTAAGTGCAGTAATTATGAAGCATGCATTGCATTGAACTTTCTAATTTAAGTCATTAGAATAGAAATTTTCAAAGTTTTAGTAGTTTCCAAACTAGGATGTAATAAGATTTAAAAGTATGAGACATAAGAAAAAATTTGTTAATAAATAACAGTAAGCTCAAATTTATTTCAGAATTTGTTTTATATTTTTTTTAAATTATTAAAATAAAAAAACATATGAGGAGATTTAAATATTATTTTACATTTATTTATTTATTGTTAATAAATTTGAAATTAACATTTTTGCATTCCTATTTAATATATATCAGTTTCATATGAATAAAATAATAATAAAATTTAAAATAAGAAATATAAAAGCATCTGAAATAACAAAATTTCTCTGATGATAAAGATTTTTTAAAATGTGTTCTACCCTGTGGGCACTAAGAGGGTCTTTTTTTCCAAACTGTGTAGATTCAGCCAGGCCCACAGTTCTAGTGGTCAGGTGGTGAGGGATGGGGCCCAACATATCTGAAACAGATTGAACATTAAAAATTTCCAGGGATTTGATCTCAGGTCCCTAGAGCTGTAGGCTGATGCAGAGCTGTACCAAACAGTTTTGGTGTCCGGGGCAATCCTCATCCCTTCCCTTAGTTACACCTCTGGGCAAATGCCTTAACCATCTTGAATATCTGATTTCAATGTTTAAAGTTTATAAATTCGTATGTTCAGTTTTTAAATCACAGAATTTTCTTCAGAGTCTACATTACAGTAAAATAATTTTCAGTTTAACATCTATAGAATTCTAATTAAAATTTTAGATGATAAAATAAACAAACTGTGATAAAATCAAATATTTATTTTTAATTTATTTACATTTATGAAGATTTGTAAAAAGTCACTAGAAATATGTTTTATATCCTATTTCACTTCATTTGAAAAACAAATTTTTAATTATATATTTTTAAATGAATTTTTATAACTAAAAGGAATTTATCATCATGAAAATTAATACAAGAATCCTCATTTTCTGAATACTAGATTTAGGTTAATTTTAATTTTTGCAAAGGAAGCAGAAACAAGAAATACCAGGTCAGGTATAAAAATTGGAAATTTATTTTTATAAAATATAGAAAATGTTAGTCATTTTGAAGTATTTGAATAATTTTCGAATTAAATATAAAATTTAGTATTGCCGATTAAGTTCTTTGAAAATTTTGTTTTAAATTTTGGATTTTATATAATCTCCAATTACTTTTACTGTTTACGCAGCTATTTATGAATTTTCTAACTACAGTTTATAAATAGATTCTAGCAGAAAACTGAAATTGATATCAAAAACATGAACAAAATATATTTAGATAATTAGGAATAGCTTAAAAATTTACCTAATGAATAAATAAAATGACATTTTATCAAGTCAATCCATGTAACTATATTATTATTTAGTACTGTATACAAAATTTCTGCCTTTCTTAATCATCTAATTTTCAACTAAACAGAAAAAAAAATTTTTTTGTTCTGGTTACAACAAATTTATAACTGGGTAACTTCATCTGATTTTTCATTATAAATATCATTTATTGCTTTTTGATATAAGTGCGGGGATTTTTTCCATTATAGAATTACATTGTTAGCCTAAGTAAATTATTAATTTTGCAATTAAGCGCAATGGTTTCTAGGCCAATTATATTGTTTGTTTATGCAATTTAGTAATTATTTTAAAGGCAAAAATAATAACTAAATTTTTTTTGATACCTTTACCATAATGATGGACCATACTTGTATAATTATAGATAGTGTACAGTATGAGAAATTACTTTCTCATTTAGAAACATGTATTTCTTTATCTACCATTGCTAGAATTTTTGATAAAAAAAATAATTATTTGACTAGTTCAGAATTCTTTCAATTTAAATAACAAAATTTTTAATTTTTTTAAATTTTATTCTGTAAATTGCTATTTTTTTCTTCTTTTTTTTTCTAAGTTTTGATTTAATTATTAGTTGCTGATGTAGAAAGAATAACCATCTTAAAGAAAATCAAAAAAATATAAGACTAAAAGTTTTAAATTGACAATTATATTAAAACTTTGATATAAGCATTTGTTTATAATTATCATTTTGGTTAATTTATAATAATTTTATATATTCCATTTAAAGTTAAATATTTTTAAAATAATATAGTGATGTGACATTAAAAACAGTATTCAAGAACATTGTTTTGTTAACAGAGATGTTAAGAGTTTGTATGGGGCTGAGGTAGAATGGGCCCCTTTGCCTTTTTTTAGCAAATAAAATACTGTATGTGGAATGTTCCTTCATTAATAAAAACTAGTCTTTAAAGCTTTTAATTTTTTGTTAATAAAAATAACATTAATTTAAAGGGACAGGTAACACTACAGCCTCTAGTTCCTTCTCAATGGTCCTGTTTGTTAGATATATTATACTTAAAGTAATGAAAAAAATTTTTCAAAATTATCTTTAGAAGAACAGGGAAAAAAAATCAAATTTCACAAAGTAAAAAAAACTCTAATGAATCATAAGTTTTTAATTAAAAAGTCTGTAAATTCTACAAATATAATGTATATTTCAATTATTGTAATTACACATCAACTAATTAAAACATATTTCTGACTATTTTACATACACATTTAAGCATATGTAGATTGTTTTTATTCAAAATATGTGTGAATGATTTCTTATTGTAACTGAATCATAAAATAGATCTAGTGACAAATTTGTGTAATCAAATCTTCAATAATAAACAAAAAGTTTTAATGATATTTATATTCAAATTGCTTGTAGCTCTGTAGTAAAGAATAACCATTTTAAAATTCTTATTTTAACATTTAAAACTTTAAATGATAAAATAAGAATTGGATAGTTGTAAATAAGAGTAATATGATTCTTTAAATGAATGCATAAATAGTGATGCTTTATATACTATGTTATTTTATTTGAGTTTATTATTTATATACATTTGTAATAAACAAACAGTGGTGTGTTATCCTATGAGCAAAAAAAGGCAATTGCCTGGGGCACCCACCAACAGGAGGCCTCGAACCAATCTTTTATAAGAAAATATTCCCCCAAAGAAAAAAGTCTGAAGTGAACACTAAATGGGGCCCTATTTCAAATTTGCTTGTGTTTCATGAAGCTATAATATGCCACTGTAAATAAATTGCAAAAAATATTAATATATATATATACTTATATAAAATAATTTATATTTTTTATATGTTTTTTGTCCTTTTTTTTATACATTATATTGTCTTGTCATTTAAGTTTTATTTTACAGTTGTATTTTTATTTTTTTTTAATGTCTTCTATCTTTTAACTTGGATAGCATAACTTGTATAGCTTTGAAGTTAAAATTTATTTGTTCAATTAAAATGTTAAATAACAAATCATTGTTATCTACTTAAATTAATAATTACTAAGTTTATAATCATTCTGTTATGTTATTGTTCTGTTTATACATTTAACTACTCTAAAGAATTATCTTCATCAAATCAAGAGAAATTGATCTATTGTAAAAATAATATTTTTGTTTTTTTATTTTATTAATGCTAAAAATAGCTGTCATTAAATAAATTGTCTGAAATAAAAAGATAATTATAAGTAATGTAATTTAATTTTGATATTAGAATTTTAATAATAATAATATATTCTGATAAAGTAATTTTAAAGAATTAATTTTATTTTATAACTGTAAATAATGGATTAGTTTTTGCAATTATATTTCACATTTAAGATTGAAAGAAAACCCTAGGCAAATATTAGTTATTGGTATGTGTAATTATTGTAGGAAAAAAACACTCCATTGTTCTATAATAAATAGTAATAGTACTTTATAAGACTTACATTCTTACATTTTTATTGTTATTCACAATAATTTGGATTCTAGAAAGGAGGGAATGTATTTTTATTATTTGCTAAATTTTTTGGATGACACAATAAACCGATTTTGAGAGAATAATTCGAGATTCACAATGGAGTAAAAAAAATTACAATTGAACTAAAAAAATATTTTGAATTAATCTCTCAAAATTGGCATTTCATTACAAAAACTACATATTTTGAAACCGAGAATTTGATGATGCAATTTGCTGGTTAAGTTGTGAAATTTTTTTGAAATAATTTAATCCTTGAGAGATTTTTCTGTTTTTTTCTTCTTAATATTAAATATAAGAAAATTATATTTACTTAAATTTTGAGAAATTATGATGATTATGCAACATTTTTGCATAACAATATTTTTTGTTTTTTAAGTATCGAAACCTTCACCGTTCTAAATTTAATTTCATGGAGGGAAGGCAAACAACATAGAATGAATAATTCCCTCTTAAAGGCAACAAAAACTTTAAAAACTACATTACAGATTTTGACATTCACAATTTATAAATAGCTTAACATACAGCAAAATACACCACATTTAAAAATTACTACTAATTACTTGGATAATTAAACTCTACTTGTCTGAAATAAACTATGTACATGTTTAATGGCACAAAATATTTTTGAGTATTTAATTATATACAGTTATATTATGAAGACTATTATTTTCCAGTATATAATTTTCTTACCGAATTGTCGATAACGCAAAACATTCATCACAGTTGGAAAAGGAAAAACATTATTGACTAGTTCTTAAATATTTTACATGCCAATAGGAACTGTTGATATGGAACGTAACTATCAGATTTGTATTATATACATCTACACTGATATCAACTTTCAAGTCTTATTTTTAAATTTTTGAAACAAAGAAATGCAAAAGTTCTATTAATTCATAAATTGTCACTTACTTGATCATATCTACTTTGAAAGATGTATAAAATATAAATATATACAAAATTTCAGATGTAGCATCTGAATTGTCTCAAACATCTTTTAAATAAATTAGTGCACAAAATTTACAAAGAACACTTGATGAAATCAGAACAGAATTCATGCAGTCTGATCACATTACTGCAATGTAAATTGTCAAAATTGATAGATTTCCGTAGCTAGGTGTTAGGTTTTATAGAAAATATTTTCATATACATACTTGGTTTTCTACCCATGTCCAACACGTTTTGCACTTGACATAACAGCAATAATAATACTTGCACTGACAATGTTCTGATTTTTGTAATCTATAACTCATGTAACCCCTGCCACAGCACATAGAATCACAGTTGTCTGTTCCTTCAGATGTAGCATTGCACAGTCTATAAAACATACATTTTATTTAAATTAATTCTGAATATATATAAATTCATAAATGTTCCACCACTTACAACTGACTTTTATTCAAAATACTTAGTCATAAATCAATTAATAACAATAATGAGTGTTCAATTTTTATAATATTTTATGTACTGTAATCATACAGATTTTGAGCTTTAGTTCCATTGCCTTACTGCCTATATTATTTGAAAAAGAAATGTCTAAATTTTCCTTAATTAACAATATAATTTTAGGAAATTTATGAATGATTAATCATTTCATATATCAAATAGTTGTAAGTAGAGAATCATCTGTATATAAACTTTAATTATTTCAGGAAATTTACTTATACAGAAAATATATAATGTAGAATAATTTAAAGGTATATATTAATTTTTAAACTTTTAAATAAAAATAAATTAAGGAACTATATTTTAAAATTAGAAAATAATGAAAATTTTGAGAATTAATGAATACCATTTCAGCAATTTAAAAACAGTCTTAGTTGATTTATATTCAATTTAACTTCATAATATCAAAACCTCAAATTTACCTTTCTGCTTAAACTAGAGTCAATAATAATAAACCAAAAACAAAGGGCTAAGTGCTTTGGACTGACTTACTCATCTATCTTCAGACTCCATACCTGCTGTTTAAGCTCCTATTCAAATGTTTTTGCTTCAAAAGAGTATTCAAAAAGTCCAAAAGTGCTTGGTGGTTTGTTGTTGTTGACTGCAGTTTAAGCAGAATGGTGAAGTTCTTTTTTTATTATTATTATTATTTCGTTACTCTGTTTATTTACAAGATTATATGTAAATAAACAAATTGATTATATATAATTTTTTCAGTTATAAAATATTTAAAAAATTATTATTAGTTAAATTATTTGATGGATTCTCTTCTACTTCAAAGTTAGTTTTAAAAAAAAAATAATTTCACAAATTCTAGATCCTGTGTTATTTTTTTTTAACATCGTCTAAAAGTATAAAGGAAGAAATATATTTCTTTATATAAAAGCATGTGTAGCAATGCAAAGCATGTATAAAAGCAGATATTCTCTCCTTCAGTTATATTCAAACTGGTTTTTTGGAACTAAGGTTCTGTGCAAGCACCCTAAATTATGAGAATGCCACACAATTTTTAGTGAAATAATGAAATTTTTATTTCATTATTTCACTAAAAATTTCTAAATTATATTTTATCTAACTGTAAGAAGAATTATTATTAGAAAATAAAAATAGCAATAAAGTTTTCCTCACTAGTCCTTTATTTTTTTTAAACTTTATTGCTTGTGGTTCTGCATAACCACTGCCTTATTTATAAAGAAAAAGTATAATTTGAACATCAAATATAATAGTTTTAAAACATGCAATAAAAAAAATCATATTCATTGAAAAAACAAAATTTTGACTAGTAAAACATAAAACATATTTTAAGGTGTTCTTTTAAAATTGTCAGATACTGTTTTTTCTTAGTTGTTTAATCATGTATACTTGATTTGTGCTTTATATCTATATATATAAAATTGCTTGTCCTGACTGACTCATTCACTCACTGATTCATCATCGCCCAGAGCAAACCACTGAACCTAAAGAGGTGAAATTTGGTACACAGTTAGGGTACGTCATGAAAACGCTCACTAAGAAGGGATTTTTCGAAATTCCCCCGCGGGGGGTAGAGGAGAGGATTAAGGCTTAACCGGAAGAACAGCTTCTACTGCACTATTTTAGATGCAATTTTTTGTTTTTATCTGCGTTTTAGTAGGGTATGCCATGGGAATGCACAATAAGACGGGATTTTTCAAAATTCTCCCGCGGGGAGGAGAGGGAGAGGATTAAGGCTTAACCGGAAGAACAGCTTCTACTGCACTATTTTAGATGCAATTTTTTGTTTTTATCTGCGTTTTAGTAGGGTATGCCATGGGAATGCACAATAAGACGGGATTTTTCAAAATTCTCCCGCGGGGGGAGAGGATTAAGGCTTAAGGCTTAACCGGAAAAACGGCTTCTACTGTACTATTTTAGATGCGATTTTTTGTTTTTATTTGCGTTTTAGTAGGGTATACCATGGGAATGCACGCTAAGAAGGGATTTTTCGAAATTCCCCCTCGGGGGAGAGGGAGAGGATTTAGTCTTCATCGAGTACTTAGATGTATTAAATTAATAACATTTCAGACATTGTTATAAATATTTTTATCTATTTCGATTTTAAAAATGTTCGAACCGTTGTAAATTTGAATTTGTTATTGTATATTGGTTCGATTATAGAACGATTGTAAACGTTCCAGAAAATTGATCAAATTGAAAATAGTTCGTTTGATTCTCGGCAATTCTCATCATTCTCAGCGGTAGTTGTTATATAACAATTACTATGGTTGTTGAAATACTGAATATAAATGGGGTTTGCTTGCAAAATTTTCGCGGGCGAAGTCGCGGGTAACAGCTAGTCTTTTAATAAATTTGTTTATTTTAGGAATATTATTTAACCTTTTACAATAACTTATAATTTTCTTTTTTTGAAACATACAAATCTAAAATTACCTATAAGTTTATTGATGTATTCATGACACATCAGCATGAATGAATTTAGATATTCTAATGAATGACCTCATTATTTATTAATTATGTAAGTAGTTCATTCACTAACAAATTCAAATTTATGCTGTTTACTTTTATAGTATATTACATATTCTTTTCTTAGTAATATAAGGAATGCATTCCTAATTTTCATCATAAAAAAATAGTAGTAGTAAGTTATATGTTAATTGTAATTGTTCTTTCAGCATTTATTCTTGAATGTTAAAACTAATGTAACAACACAATTTAAAATTACTTCTACATGTATTTACAAAAGGAAATTAATGTCAAATTTAAAGCCGGAAAATGTCAATTGTTTTAACAGGTACAAAATCAAAAATAAAAAGATAAGCCTGTAAATACAATACTTATAAATAAGTGCATTACTTTCCCTGAGATTCTATCATTAGAGTCTAGGAACAGGTGAATTGTAATTTGAGAAAAACCTATTATAGTGACTTATTTCTATTTTTAATCCCTAATAAATCTTCACCTAGTCTCAGTTTACTTTTATTAATTTAGATAAAGGTAATCTTGGTAGAAATTTAATATTTTCAAATTGAATTTCCTTAATTTTATATTTTAAAAATGAAGTTTGCCCTTGACAATACGAGTTTCCAGTAGATCTTGAATTGAAAAAAAGAAAAAAAAATCTTAAGATGGTTTCTAAACAGCGTTGGAATTTGTACGTAGTGTCATTGAACAATTTCTTTCTTAGAAAAGTTACTCATTGTAAAAAATTTGTTACACAAGCTTTAGATTTATTCATATGCATAAGGGAATTTTAAAAGTAATAATTACATGCACGCTTTAATGTACTTATGTAATGTAGAGCTATAAATATATATATAATTAAATTCTATTATAAAAATCGGATGATGAAATTTTATATAAATCTATTCGTATAAATTCATATTTTATAAATAAATTAGAAATAACTCTGATATGTTATTGTTGCGTCACGGTACTGTTATTTTGAGAAGAGGGGTGAAAAAAGTAGCTTCTCGTGTTAAACGTACAAGTTTGATTCCCCCCTCAATAACGAGGGGGTGACAGAATTTAATGATACGAAGGACATTTAGAAGGAAACTATTGTTTAGATAACGTAACGTACTCCGCTCTTGCGTCATAATCGATATATCTATAGTCAAACTAATAATTCTGTGCTAAAAAAAAAGGGCAGAAAAACTTTAACGTACCTTCCTCTAGTTCCATAAGAACCTAGTTTATGATCTGGAAGGCAATAATCTGGAGATTTTGTAATATAGATCAGATCATCGGCACGAAACATTCCCAGTTGCTTATTAGTGGGTACGAGCTTCCGTCTAGTGCCAACCAGACTCGACGTAACTTCATAGGCAACGTGATATTTTCTCTTTAATCTTTCGGCAACATCTATAAAACTCGGCAACGCTTTCCAACAGGTTTTGATGCTGCAGGAACCAGAAACTCCGTGACACTTGCATTGATCCCGTAAATTATCTCCTACCGCCTGAAAAAGTACATATGTGTTACTTATAAAAGCTCGATTTTTGTAAAAAATGTGCAAAAAAACAATTATCTAAACGCCCCGCGGGCGTGACACTGGGTGGTCTGCAGGTGGTTCATTTATTTCTCTTAATTGTGGAGGTAATTCTATTATCCGGCGCGGTGAAATAATTAAAGTGTCACGATAACAATTATTTAATATGTCTCACGCTTCTCGGAACTTTTGGATTAATTTGTAAAGCTATAATTTACCAAAATGACCGTAATGTTAGAGAGGTTCCTTCAAATATTTGTTTGTGGTGGTAGTGGCATAATTTATCCCAACAAACAACGGAATATTTGTATAAGAAATCTCTTACCCTTCTTCCAGCTTTATGGTTATGCTTATTAACTTCGCTAAGTATAGTTTTCTTAGATGATCTCATGTTCCAAGGGGCGTCGACGAAATCTTTCGCAAATCTTAGTCCAAATTTTGTATTATCTGAACATCCACCCCATTTAAAATCCCCGAGAGGTGGTTCGTGAGGCACTTGACCACAACCGCAAGATAGTAAAGTCCCATCACTGCAACCTCTTGCAGTTACGTGAACGACGGAAGCGGAGGATAATGCGTGTAGAAACGCTTGCTCGCGAGTACCTAGAACGAAAACAAAAAATTGAATTTCATGAAGGAATTTAACAGGTTTAATTTGATCTTTTTTTTTTTTAATTTTACCTCTCGTTAGATCGGGAGGAAATTCCGGAGCCTTCGTAACAGACGAACAGTTCCATCTCCGGTCCGAAAAAGTCGACTGACACACAGTCATAGTAGATCTGGCAGCGTTCACTAAATGTTCCATTGTTTCTAGTTGACGCTGGCAGATTTTTATTTGTCGACCTCTTAATCCGAACAATTTCCTTCCTTGAACGCAATGGATTGTTTTGTTCCAGGTTAAATTTGATTTTGCTAAAGCTCTGCAAAATAATTTTATAAGTCTTTTTTTTTTTATTCATATTTTTTCAAACTTTAGTTTCGTCGCGTCGTTTCGCGTGCCGAAGCAACGCGACGCGACAATAGTCAATGACGCGTGAACGGCAAACTAGATTACGCCATCCGATTCAGCTCATCAATCTCTTGTCGTACCGGAATGCAAATTTATTAAACCACTATGTAAAAATATCTACAGCTGTATATTTAAATCGATTCTTTTGCGGAAATTTCTGTACTATTTTAGACCTCGGTACCTTTAAAATATTCATAGCTTAATTTTGTTCTGTATAAAATATTAAATTAGGTAATTTTTCTTAACATTATCCTAATCATACCGTACTCCAAAAACTTGTATTTTCGTTTATATTACGTCGTCTATTATCCGGATATATCGATTAATCATATAAATCGCTCTTTTTTGCTCACTTTTCCCAGAATTACTCGGTTCTTCGCTCCGAAACTAATAGAAATGTCAACTAATGGAAAATTATTACAAGGATAATAGCTTCGTGTTGATTTTAATAGCTCAAAATAGAATAATGCACAAGTAGGTAAGAAACAAAATTGCATTATGTACACTACTCAATCGATAAAAGATGAACGAAGCGATATATATATATATATATGTGTGTGTGTGTATTTTTTTACAATAAAATCCAATCTTTAAAGAGTACTAAATAGGTTATAAAACTGCGGAGACTTCAATTTTTTATTGATTTTTAATAGCGGAAGAACCGGATAGCAATACATAAATTGCATTAATTTATATAAAAGTAATTTGCCTTCTAAATTTTATTACAGAATGTGCAGACTGTAAGATGTGTTTAACGGAGTTTTATGAAATTATCTTCAAGTTCATTCGTCTGAAACCAGCACTTGCACTATATATAAAAGAAGAGATTGCCGATTATCAATAATAACGATCAATCATCGCTAGTAACATGTCAGAAAGACTAATCTCTCTTGTTGTAATATTTAGCGAGGCCACTAAACCTGTAATTTCTTGCATTGTAGTGCATATTAACGTTCTAGTTTAGATTAAAAGAGCATAAAAACAATCGCATATAATACTTGGTGGCTTTTTTTTTCTGTAGAAAAAAAAAATAAGGTGAGTAGTATTTTTACCTTTAGGAATTTAAAATCTTAAACAACATCCAATCTTATTCTTAGCTTTTCCAAACTGGAAGACTTTTTCATAGTAGCAATATTTTTTTTTTTTTTTGGGCACTCGTAGTTATGCCTTAAGACATAACTTTTTTTTACTACATTCTTGCATACAGACGTAATCTTTTTCACTAATAAAAATTCCAACTGAAGTCCTTTTATTGTAATAAAGCAGACCAACCGGCCCAACTAAACCGGCCTATCAAGAAAACGACAAGATCCATCTTTATTCGAGATTTGAGGAACGTGGCCTATCAAATAGCTACCAGATCCATCTCAGTTAGGAATTTCGGCTACTGATAACGTAAATATATGGAAGGAACTTCGAAATCATTTTTAAAATGTTATTTTTTAGACGCTACTTGTTTAGCTTCCTTAAGGTGTTGACGTAATTCGATTTTCCGGTTAAAACCGCTTAATAATAGGTAAAATTCCTCAAAGTTCTTTACGCAACACTGCAACGAGTACGATCTGCATATTTTGAAATGCCAATATCCTTTATCTGTGACGATAAAACATTATTTTTTGTGATAAACCCTTGAAAGTCATATCCGGCACGTAGCCCTTAAGAATGGAATCAACTGGTTGAAGGACAGGTTGGCCGAAGGCGACGTGCAGTCTCGAGCGTGCGATCTCTCCCGTATCAACAGGATTATTAAATCCGACACGCTGTCCTTCACACTATAATCATTTCATTAATAATTATAATATTGTTATATCGTTTAACTAAAACACCTATTAGTTACTCTTCAGAATGAGTTGTGAAGAGCTTGTAATCAGTAACACAATATGGATTTGATGCTATGGTTAAGCTCGAAAGTCCGTTTCTCATGGAAACTTTCTGAAACAATCCTTATTTCCGATGACAAGGGATGTCTTCGATCCAGATAACCTTAATGACTTCTCGATCAACAAGCGATCACATGTAACTTAAACCCAATACAAATATCGCCTCCTATCCTTTACTCTCCTCAAAACTGTCGAGTTTGATGACTGAAGGAACTGAATCTGTTACTGTCATACATGTTAAAATTGCCGGGATTTGTGAGTAAAGGTCTATCAAATTGAATCTTTCCTTTCGTATGACTAAAAAATGTTTTGTTAGATTTATATCTTTTAACCAAGTATTATCGCGGGACTGCTTCGTTGTATGAAAAATAAATGACATGAAAATTTCATTAGTTTGATTATTATTGATTCAGACACGTAGGAACGTTCCAATTTTCGAAGGGGTAGTCTATGAATGAAAAATGAATCAAGCGTTGGAATTTTTGGATGAATCTTTATCAAAATTTCAACATTTTTTTTTATTAGAGTTTAGCGATCTCTGCTGTTGTTGTAGTTCAAATAACCCTAATACACATGGCTCTTACTTTCATTTTATTCTATTATTTATACGACAGAATATGTTAAATTTTTTATATGTCCTACAAGAGGATATAGGTGATATTTTAAAGAATTAACTCTAGAAAAAAAGGCTTTAAATATAAAAATAAATGATTAAAATCAGTTTGTATGCAATCCTAATAAAATAGATTTAAGTCCGAAAAGATATAAATTTCGTCCTCTGTTTGTTACGTCATAAAAAATAGAATCTTAATAAATTATAATTTTCTTAAAAGCTAGGGAAAGTAACGGGGGAAGCGACTCAAATAACGTGACCCACAATCCGATGAATGACTGGTAGACCTTCTACCACGAGTTATACAAAAAGTGGCAAGCTGAGGTTAGATATTCTCTCTTTTTTTTTCCCGTTGTTAACAGGTTTAAACGCATTTTTACAGCGACAATTATTTAACCGCTAATAGAGGAAGCGTGTAATATAAAGCATATTAAGCGTTACGAATTAATTTTGACAAATTAGTGAATGCCAGTCAACTCATCAACTCATTGACCCTAAATTACCATATACAATAATTAAAGGCGACCAGCTGTCTGTAATTCAAACATAGGGCATGTTTATCTTCCGATGACAGAAAGAACGATAAAAGACATTCTAAGGAACGAGATGATGAAGATGTAGATTTAATGAAGTGACGACGTCTGTTACAAGTTGACGAGAGGTTGACCAAAGATCAGTTAATGGCTTGTGAAGCAGGTGTTTGTCCACCTGATGTCGTGGGAACGGAAAAGAAAAATTAAAGCACGACAATCCCAGCCGTTTACTTTAAATCCTTAACGGGACGGTGTTTATTTCATCGAAGTGCTGGGAAGAAGAATTAGATGAGGAAATACCCGTACATAATAGGATAAGATTGTTGGTTAACTTGCTCCCTTCAATCTCGTCTTTTAAACTGATACGAAAGGATGTGCGATCCGCTCTTGGTTAATAGCTAAAGGAAATTGTTCTTCGCCGATTTCCTGAGTTCTGATCGAGAGTAATGGACACAAATTTGATTAATGGCACCGCTCGTTGCATTTTTTAAAGCCGATAACACGTTTTTAAAAAAATGCAAATCGATTACGTTAAGTAAACGAAGAAGAAAGAAAAGAAAAAAAATTATTAAGGTTAAAATCCAGTTGCTGCACCAGTCGAGTGTATGACATTAATAACGAAGGACGCACGTTGTAACTTTTCCTTTAACTCGGCTACAGCGGTATACGATTGGAAGTAAAGGGCTTAAACGAAGAAAAAAAAAGAAGAAAAAAAATTTAACTTCGATTAAGTCGCTTATTAAACAGGTAAATTTTTCCTCCATTCTAATTTTAAAATTACAATACGCTATAAAAATTACGACTTTAAGCTAAAGTAACATCGCGTGCCAATTGCAAAAATATGTGGTTACTTACAGCCATTGTAGAGCCGTGATGTGTCCTATAAATAATAGAGGGAATAGATAAACGTTGCCGAATCTCATCGTGGACACGTGCTTCTTGCAAACTACACACTTCCGGTCACTACTTGTCTATAGAGCGGTCGTCACGTGACTCGGCGCCTCCAATTAGGGCGCGGATAGTTACGCCCCTTAACCATTTGCAGCTTTCGTTCGTATAATCTAATATCTACTCGAAACGTGATTGGAGAATGGCGATTAAAAAAGATTTTTCAACGTATTTTAATCGCTTTATTCATTACTACCCTTTACGACTTTATTCGCTAGTAAATTTGAAAATTCTTCTATACGTAAGCTCACGTATAAACGTTTTACTGCATATGTCACACCGACGCTTATGCGCAAACGCATAACGAGCGCGTGCGAAAAATGACGCTCGACAGCTTTTACGTATAATTTAATAACCGAATTTTTACCAAATTTTTAAAAGTATTATTTTTTAATACAAAATTATATCAAAATAACTCGAATTGATAACACTAGATGGCGATATCATCTAAATGGAAAGTCGGTAGGCGAATTTGAACTTAAAAGTAACTTTTTTTATAAAGAGGAAAATTAAAAAGGAAATTAAAGCTTATACTTAAGTTATTTCGAGAATTTTTTATATAAAAAAAATCGAATAAAACTACGTAATTATCGAATTATTTCGTAACTCGACATATTTTTTAATGCGAAATTTAGCTATTGTTCCGTTGCGATCTATATTAAAATACATTGAATCGGTCACGAATGGCGGTAGAAGAACGAGAGCATCTGATCGACTAACTAGAGGGAAAAAACAAATTAAAGCATGTCATTAACATGTTGCGTTTTAGATATATAATAAGTATGTTTGCTATTATTTTCTCGTTAAAATAATCGTGCAGCTTTACTATCGTGACCGCGACAGATGCTGCTACAATTTTATAAGGATGAAGCAACATCGACAGAATTTTCATCAACCCCTCTAGCTGTAATTTGTGTATCCTGAAAAATACGTGTCGGGGATTTCAAAATGGAGATAGATCTAAAAGATTTCTATCCAAAGATAGTTAAGATCACAAAATTTAATCTGTATTAATTAAACGAGTGTATTTTAATTCAAGATTTGTTTAATTAATAGAAAATACGCGAGATACATATTAAAACCGTACGGTTATAATGATTTTCTGTGTTGTAAGCTACCTTTTTTTTGTAATTTGTGATTAATCCCCGTTCTTTGAAGTGTCTTTCTATTGAATTAACAGACGTACAGTCTAAGCTAAGCTAGTAAACGAGGCAATTTGGAGATACCAGATGGGTACAGGCTAGTACCTTGTTAATTTTTCATTATCGTAATCATTTTTCTATGTCAAGAAAGTACAAAGTGTGTAACTGACTAACTCTTTTACATCAGAAACTAGCTTTTCTTGTTCTATACAACAACTATCCTTTAGTTACTCGCATATGTTATAAATTTCACTAATTTCCGACGACAGTTATTGTACTTTAGAGCATTTTATATGCTTTACAACACTAATAAATTTTATTGCTCTGCACATCAGATGATACAAGTTTAAAAGTACATTATTTCCTAAACTTTGTAATGCTATTATTATGTGGGACGTATTCAGACCTACATAGTCCTACGCTAAATTCGGTATATTTTATTCTCCATTTAATTTACAAATAACTGAGAAGACTTAAAAAAATTAACATTTCCTGTATTTTATTTATTTTATCTATATAAAACAGGAAATTAAATTAAACAAATTTGAAATAAAACATGCTTATTTAATTATTAATTTACGTTTCGCTTATTCGGCATAAATCATTGAGTTTATTCTATTTAAAGCGATTAAATATTTTATTTATGTACATTTATTTATTTAATAATAGGATATTTATTATATGAACATATTTAAATATAAACTTGCGATAGGAGCCAACTTAAGAACTAAAGAAATTATAATGTATATTAAATTAATTTACTTAAAACTTGATTTTTTTGTTGTTTGTTTTATTAAGAATTCAAAATTATAATTTAAATGTTTAAAAATTTTTTTTGTTTAATGAAGTAAAGTCTGAGACATACCCTAGAATAAAAATGGAACAATGTTCCAATTACTCGCACTTGAAAAACAATAAACAGTATCTACTAATATGTATCTGATGTAGAACACATTACGCAAATGTTCAGCACAGTAGTAAGTTTCTTATTTACGCCTTTTCTTAATTATTTTAAGCTATTAATCCCTAAATTATTTAACAAAATGATCATCTGTCAGTACTTAAATGCCATTATGATAAGCATATTTACTTAATTATCATCATTCCATTCGTTTAAATTATAGCTTGGAAAAGTTGTTAAATATATATTTACTGTATAAAATATCCATCCAGGTATTTTCTATCCTCCTTTTCTTCATTAACCCTAATTTTTTCCCCCAGAATTTTCCTCTTCAACCGAAATTAACAATGACATCTTTATTATCTAGACATCTCTTTCCTCAATATCTAATTATAATTAAACGAGATTTTCGAGTGTCCCGAGGAGGAAAAGGGGTAATATTCCAAATTTCACATCTAAACTTCAATCTGAAGGTTAAATCGACTGTAAAGATTTTAATTAAATCCTCGTAGGTCCTTGTCGAATGTTTCTGCAGTTGTGCGGTGAATTACTTGCCTAAAGAAATTTTGCTATAGGCTACACGAGTTAATGTTCTCTGACGTGAATTTGTAGTTAATTCCTTCGATAAATCATCTCGTAAACGAATAAATTTACATTAGATACATCTCCCTCGGTTTGGTTCTATTTACATTGTATATATATACTTGTAGCGATACGATATTCTTAAAATAAATAACATAAAATATAAATCATATCGAAATTATAAATCATGTGTAGAGATTACTGTGTCACTTAATAAAATTTCAATAGAGATGGGAACTAACATTGAAACCATCTGGACAAATGCAAAAAATATATTTAAAGTTTCTGTTTTCTTCAATAAAATTGTTTGATTTAACTATAGATATATATTAGATTTACAAAGCTATATTTTATTGTAAATATTCACCGTAATATTTAAGAAATTTATGAAAATTTTAGGAAAAGTACAGTAAATATTCCATTAAAGCAAGTTGTACTGTATATCACTTCCTTGTTTATGCTGTAAAAATATTGCGTTTCCCAAGTGACGGACAGTTTATCTGTTGTGTTCGTCAACACAATTCTATTTAAAGTGGGAACTTATTCAGATTTGAAGCTAACCAGTCGTATAAGTCATGTGTATATACACGAAAATCCTGTATCTNATTTTATAAGTCTTTTTTTTTTTTATTCATATTTTTTCAAACTTTAGTTTCGTCGCGTCGTTTCGCGTGCCGAAGCAACGCGACGCGACAATAGTCAATGACGCGTGAACGGCAAACTAGATTACGCCATCCGATTCAGCTCATCAATCTCTTGTCGTACCGGAATGCAAATTTATTAAACCACTATGTAAAAATATCTACAGCTGTATATTTAAATCGATTCTTTTGCGGAAATTTCTGTACTATTTTAGACCTCGGTACCTTTAAAATATTCATAGCTTAATTTTGTTCTGTATAAAATATTAAATTAGGTAATTTTTCTTAACATTATCCTAATCATACCGTACTCCAAAAACTTGTATTTTCGTTTATATTACGTCGTCTATTATCCGGATATATCGATTAATCATATAAATCGCTCTTTTTTGCTCACTTTTCCCAGAATTACTCGGTTCTTCGCTCCGAAACTAATAGAAATGTCAACTAATGGAAAATTATTACAAGGATAATAGCTTCGTGTTGATTTTAATAGCTCAAAATAGAATAATGCACAAGTAGGTAAGAAACAAAATTGCATTATGTACACTACTCAATCGATAAAAGATGAACGAAGCGATATATATATATATATATATATGTGTGTGTGTGTATTTTTTCAAACTACCTTTTAATTTTTTATCGAATTTTTTTCTTATATATCCCACCTTCGTTTCCGTGCAAAAAACATGTAGATAGCCAGTACAAAACGTTAAATTATTATATTTTATCCATTAAAATATTTAATAATTATTGTAGTATGGTATATATAACATATATAAAGCTTCGAATATAGAATTAAATTGGAAAATCTAGAGTTGAATTAATATAAATGGGATTTCATAGAGCCGAAATGTTTCGAAGTAGCTAAATATTATTAACTGTCGAAGATAATTGTGAATTGTGTTAAATCTTCTGCCAAGTTGAACAAACTGAATTAGGAAAATGTTTAATTACGCTCTATGGATATTCAATACAAAGTTTTGATGCTGTTTCAATAATTAATTCCGCTCAAAGTAACTTTCACAAACGTTAAAATATTTTTCGATGTTTCATAAACAATGATTCATTGCATTTATAAAACTAAATGATTTAAATTTAAATTCTTAAAAAAGCACGAATAAATTTTACGCAAGATTTGCGTGATGTGTACCTACGTGATTTACATCACGTAGGCATACTTCAGAATGCGTAAAGTTTGTCGGGACGAAGCTGTCATCTGTAACGGAGAAAATAATTTAGGGAAAATTTTTCTACCCAAATTAAAGTGATTGAAATTAAGCGTATTGTTACATAACAATAGCATAATCATATACCATCTTATACTTACCAAGAGGAAGTAACTTGGAGCTTGATAAGTTTTGCCAGTTTAAGACGTGTCTTTGAATATATTTTTTTAGTCTTTTATCTAAAAATACTTAAAAGTACTGTATATATTATGCCAGTTAGAAAGGGAAAGTTTATCAAAGTGATACTTTATTGGTGCATTTAAGTAATCTGCTGGCCATATAACGCGGAATAAGGAACATAAAGCACTATTTAATATAATGAGTGACATAAATAAGGCAAAATGTTCGTTTAACTAGTTTTTTAATTCTTATTTTTACTATTGTTATAGAATGTCTCTTCAATTTCTTTAATTTACTTTTGTTATTTTGCCAATGTTAGTTTTTATGTCACCGTCCCAAGTGACATCCGTTCCCAGTTCGATTTTCACTTGGAACGGATGTCATTCTTCTCATGTGATCCTTCTCAGAATGAAAAATGTTTTATGTATATNGGGAACTAACATTGAAACCATCTGGACAAATGCAAAAAATATATTTAAAGTTTCTGTTTTCTTCAATAAAATTGTTTGATTTAACTATAGATATATATTAGATTTACAAAGCTATATTTTATTGTAAATATTCACCGTAATATTTAAGAAATTTATGAAAATTTTAGGAAAAGTACAGTAAATATTCCATTAAAGCAAGTTGTACTGTATATCACTTCCTTGTTTATGCTGTAAAAATATTGCGTTTCCCAAGTGACGGACAGTTTATCTGTTGTGTTCGTCAACACAATTCTATTTAAAGTGGGAACTTATTCAGATTTGAAGCTAACCAGTCGTATAAGTCATGTGTATATACACGAAAATCCTGTATCTATCCCATATTTTAATGTTTTTTGGTTCATTGACCCGTTTTATTAATCGTAATAAGACAAAACCTACGTAACAGAAGAGTGTTTAGTTTTTAATCCGGGAATTAAACGGGACGATCACGTGTTGTAGAAAATTATTTTAAATATTTAGCAAATGTGTAATTTAATTCAGAAATTATAAATTTCTTCAACTAAGAAGTTCGCGTATTTCTAGAAATTTTGTGAAATTGCCAATTCGTCGAATGTTTTTAAGTTTTATTTATTTATTTAATGTTTTTCTTTAAAAAATAAATAAATAAACTGACTTCAATGGAATAAATCTGTATATGTTAAGTCTTTCTCAAAGTGATGACTCAACTTCTTATATGGAATATGAATACTTGTTTAAATCAAAGTATATAAATTATATTTATTCCCGACTCTTTTCTACTTTTTTCTATTCTAAATTATTCTAATTTTAAATCATAATATATCATATTTACACATAAAGTACTTAAATTTCTGCTCCTCTCTTTGCATTCAGCTAGACGTTAATAATAATTTTTTTCCGTATAATTCCGCTATAAAGACATTAAAATTCCTGAATAAATGTAATTTTTTAATGTTTTATGTATTAAAAAATTTTAAATAATTTTTTTCCGTATAATTCCGCTATAAAGACATTAAAATTCCTGAATAAATGTAATTTTTTAATGTTTTATGTATAAAAAAATTTTAAATGATTTAAATAATAAACTTCTTGTTTCACATTTAGATTGGCTTCAATAACATATCTGTATCCATCATGAACTTCTTACATCTTGATTACTCTGTGACTTCTATTGTATTGGAAGTAGTTTAACTCCAAAAATAGATTCACATGCAATCATCCCCAATCATTTCTAATCACATAAAATACTTCATATTTAGAACATTTGAGATAATTGTAGAGATTATTTTATAATTATCTATGTGATATAAAGTCTATTTTAATTTTTATTCATGTGTAAAAAATAACATTGTAAAAATTGACTATGTATGTCATGTCAGAATAATGAATAAATTTATATTCTTGATTATAAACTCACAGGTGATATATAATGATGATAAATCAAAATTTTGAATAAAAGTAATCTTCATTATTCTAATAATTGTGTAATACATTATCAGATTATTAATTATTTTAATAGGAACAACAAAAATGTATTNTATAAATTATATTTATTCCCGACTCTTTTCTACTTTTTTCTATTCTAAATTATTCTAATTTTAAATCATAATATATCATATTTACACATAAAGTACTTAAATTTCTGCTCCTCTCTTTGCATTCAGCTAGACGTTAATAATAATTTTTTTCCGTATAATTCCGCTATAAAGACATTAAAATTCCTGAATAAATGTAATTTTTTAATGTTTTATGTATTAAAAAATTTTAAATGATTTAAATTTAAATTATAAAAAAAGCACGAATAAATTTTACGCAAGATTTGCGTGATGTGTACCTACGTGATTTACATCACGTAGGCATACTTCAGAATGCGTAAAGTTTGTCGGGACGAAGCTGTCATCTGTAACGGAGAAAATAATTTAGGGAAAATTTTTCTACCCAAATTAAAGTGATTGAAATTAAGCGTATTGTTACATAACAATAGCATAATCATATACCATCTTATACTTACCAAGAGGAAGTAACTTGGAGCTTGATAAGTTTTGCCAGTTTAAGACGTGTCTTTGAATATATTTTTTTAGTCTTTTATCTAAAAATACTTAAAAGTACTGTATATATTATGCCAGTTAGAAAGGGAAAGTTTATCAAAGTGATACTTTATTGGTGCATTTAAGTAATCTGCTGGCCATATAACGCGGAATAAGGAACATAAAGCACTATTTAATATAATGAGTGACATAAATAAGGCAAAATGTTCGTTTAACTAGTTTTTTAATTCTTATTTTTACTATTGTTATAGAATGTCTCTTCAATTTCTTTAATTTACTTTTGTTATTTTGCCAATGTTAGTTTTTATGTCACCGTCCCAAGTGACATCCGTTCCCAGTTCGATTTTCACTTGGAACGGATGTCATTCTTCTCATGTGATCCTTCTCAGAATGAAAAATGTTTTATGTATATATAAAAAGATTAATTTAAATATATTTTTTAATCGTTTTTATACTCAGAAATTATTAAGAGAAGGAATGTTGATGCTTCATAAACAAAAATCGAACCCGATTCTTCCGATGGATTTTATAGAGTTTTTAAAACACTTTTAAATATTAAAATGCTTTTATTATTTATTTATATATTAAAAAAATATTTCAAAACAAAAGAATGTCCTATTTTATATAATAATTTTTATAAATTAAATATTTAAAGTGTGTTCTTATTTTATATTAAGGTGAGACAAGAGAAGGGATTAGGGGGAAACTTCATAAGTAAAATAAAGTTGAATATGATAATCAAACAACGCAATATATGAAAAAAGCAATTGAAAATATTAATATTTATTAGCTACGAATAGAAAATTATCACTTGTCACTTATTCGAGAGATCCTGGTAACCTAGACGATAGTTAACGTAGCATAAGATTAATGTTTTATAACTTTTCGTGTTCCATTGGCCTTCAACCATAAAGAAACGATTAGGTATGGAATTTTACTACATAAAGGTTGAAAAAATAAATAAATAAATATATTCACATAATCACATCATCGTATATTCTTCCATTAAAATCGGAAAATATAATTTCAAACATTCTGTTCGTGAAATAAATGGAATTTTTTAAACTGTTTCTCTGCTAAGACATACTCTCAGAATCGTATCAATTTGTTTTAAAATTATTATATTAATATTTAATATCTATATTATAGTAAAATTTTTATACGTTAAAAAATATTTTTCATGTAGTAGTTGTTATTATAAAATTGTTTGATTTAACTATAGATATATATTANTCGAGCACCCATCTGAACTAAAGGTGAGATAAGGTCATAGTGATGATACAACAGAAGTGATAGGATATTGGACTGATATGTGCAAAGGACAATCCAAACCCATTGAGTGAAATTTTATTCCTATTGCCGAATACTTCATGTAAGAACGCACCTAGGAATCAGTTTTACTCAGCGAGATGTTCATTTCGTTGCTTTTGTGTTTATTTTTTTGTTCCAAGTGATGACCACATGTTGGATAACAAAGAGCATCAAACTCTGTTAAGAAATTGTACTAAAGAGAATGCTTAACTAGCCTGATATACCAACTTGTAAATATTTGTTTATATTAGAAATAATCGCGTAACAGTGGTATTAGCGTCTGACTTAGAATTACCTATGTAAGTAGAGGATAATATCGAGACAACTATGTAACTGATAAGAACTTAGTTGTGATTTTATTGAACCAAATTGTTACTTTTTTGTTTCTTCTTTCATTAATATAAAATATTTGTTCCATCAATATGTCTTTTAATTGTGAAGTCCTCAATTTGTCACCCCACAAAAAGACTATATATATTTTGATATATCTTAGTCACTACACAATTTTAACTTTTTGAATAAACAAATGAATTTTTCAATGATCTTTATTAATTGAAGTTGTAGTAGACTTACAAGAATTACTGTTATTAAAATTCTGATTTAACAATTGCAATTATAAAAAAAAAGTAAGTATTTAAATAGACTTAATGGTATATGAATTATTTTTTTGTGTTAATAAAATTGAGAGATCTTATAATCTTATAATCTTACATTTTCTTTAATCAGGATAAATAAAAACTATTAATATTTTACTTTTCAAAGTAAATAAATGAATCTGAGCAAGGTTTAGATCTAGAAAAAATAAAATTATGTAATATAAAAAATCTCCAAAATTTATTTTTACTGTACTTTGTTAATTTGAATATTTCAGTTCTATTTTCAAAACCTAGGAGTTGGAATATATTGATATTAATAAAAAATATTAACTCATTAAAGATTGATTTTTACAGTATATTATTTTAAGTATGTTTTCTAATTATAAATACTAATTATATGAGTATAAGTATTACAGTTAAGCTGGAAAGAAATTTGAAATATTTTTCAAATAAACATAAACTTCTGTAAATGCAAGTTTTTTTGTATTAATGCAGAATATCAGATAGAAATTTATGATTTTATTAGTGGGCTCGACGTATTGGTGAATCTTGTCATCCACAAGTCAAAATTCCTTTGTATCCCTGTGAACATCATTTTCTGCATACTTTACCAGTTAAGAATTTGGATCCGATGATGCCAGTTATCTATTAAAATTTTCTTCAATTTAGTGATGTCGTTGCTATCGCTATCACAGTTATGTTGTGACGTCATCGGATAAACACCTGTAGATACTGCGGGTCAATTTCCGTCTTATAGATAACATATGTGACTAACACATGTTAATATCAATATATATTATAAAGGATATGGAAATAAATTGAATCGATTTGCTAATAATATAATCAATCGACGCTTATGAATCAATTGCATAGAATTCAGGTAAGCTTATCCTTTTTTAATATAAAACAATTTTTCATTATTTAATATTTGACATAAATAAATAATTTAAAAATTTTTACTTTCATAAAGAACGAATTAGCAATGAAATGGAAGGGAGTATTTGCTGTTATCGGCGGATTTTTAATTCACTTGACGTTAGGAACTCTCTATACATTCGGGAATATGAATACTTACATCACTTCTTACATGAAGAAGAGAGTGGATCATAACATAGATTACAGCCAGACAATATGGGTGAATGCTGCAGCAATGTTTGGTCAAGGGTCTCTCATGATTGTTGGAGGAGTCTTGGAAAGATTTATTGGCGCTCGGTGGACTTGCCTTATAGGATCTGTTATATTCAGGTAATGACAATTGGAAGAGGAGGGAGAAAAAGCAATATAATAAATAAAAATAAATGTAAACAATTTACAACTTTATATCAAAGTTTTAAGTATTTAATTTAATGAGTTTAAATAGTTTCTGATCTTTAATAAAGTTATGTGCAACAAAAATGTTGCACTTTCTTAAATAAGAGTTGCAATATCAATTTTTTTTTAATGTTTCAAAGTTAATTAAATTAATTTCAATTTATTTTCCCATTTCGAAAGTAGAGAAATATATAATTTGTATTTTACAATGAAGATGTAATTTTCATTGTATATAGATGCAATCTTTCATTTTATTCATTAAAATATATGTATATACTAACTGTTATCCACGGCTTCACCCACACGGATTTTGCAATTTGATAGAAATAACCCTCCCTCGGTACTTCACTAAGATTCTCAATCATTAGTTGTTACTAATTTGGTAAAATTACTGATTTTTGTTTGTTTCAAACTATGGACTACTAATGCACCTAAATTCAAATGTTTTCAAATTCAAATAGTTTCAAATATTATGAGATTCTGAGTACAATAAATCTGAGTTTAATTTTTTTTTTTTCGAAACATAAATGACATTATCTGAGAATTCCTAAAGTACAAATACTTACAGAAAAATAGTGTTTCAGTTACCCCAGTACCTCTTTGTAAACCATGTTCGTGGCACTGCCTTTCAGACTAAGACATTTTAAGCCTTAATCCTTTCCCTCTCCCTCCATGGTGAAATTTCCAAAAATCCTTTCTTAGTGTGCATTGTCATGGCATACCCTATTAAAATGCAGTTAAAAACAAAAAATCGCTTCTAAAATAGTACAGTAGAAGCCATTCCTCAGGAATAAAATTTTTAATCCTCTCCTTTAATCCTCTCCCTCTCACCCGTGGGGGAATTTCCAAAAATCACTTGTTAGTATGTATTTTCATGACGCACTCTAATTGTGTATCAAATTTTACCTCTTTAGGTTCAGCAGTTTGCTCTGGGCAATGATGAGTCAGTCAGTCATTCAGTCAGTCAGGACATGTAATTTTATATATATAGATACATTGTAAGAATGAAAATCTTTAAAATAAATACTGGGATATAAATTGAAAAATATATATATTTCAATTTATTTGCCAATTTATAAATTTTGTTTTGTATCAATATGATGGTCATGAACAGATGGCTGAGGTAATAAAGGTGTCTGCCAGAACTGTCAAGAAGAGGGAGCTGGGGAATTTTCCTTGGGCTTGATAAAAATTTAGGAATTTATAATGGTTCTTACCCTATAAATTAATGTTATTTTTATTAACAAAAGATAAAATTTTTAAGACTGCTTTTTATTAATAAAGAAGTGTTTTACATATTTCATTTATTCAAAAAAATTACAAGATGGGCTCACTTTACCCCCAGACCTCATACAAGCTCTCCATGGCCCTGGTGTTAGCCTACCACTGTTTCCAACCTGGATTTGAATCCAGGTCAGAAACTCAGAAATTCTTATGGGTTGTTTGATCCAAATGTATTTCAGATCATCGTCCAGTTATGCCAATTATGGGGCTAGTTGAATCCAAGATAGGCATAAAAAGATGTTCTCTGTAGGATAATAAAAGTTTAAAAACAAATATGATGATATTTACTATGAAATTTAAATTGATGATCAATCTTAGAAATTTTTTATATAATAATAATTAAGAATTATTTTTTACATGAAATATTTTTAATAATAAAATTTTTAATGACTTTGAAGTTAAATATTCAATTTTTAAAACTAATAATGTTAAAGATTATTATTTATTTAGTATTTAAGTGTAGAGTCTATTGCAGAATTGAAATACAATTTAAAAAGTTTATTTATTTATGTTTAACTTATTACTCTAAAAATTTTTTTAAAATAATTTATAATCATATAGAAAAAAGTTCGTATTATCATTATTGAGAAACTAAAGATGTTTTATTTAATACATTTTAACTTATTTGATATTTTAATTTTTCAGTGGTTCCGTAGCTTTAACAGTATTTTCAATTGATAAAAGTTTTATTGCTGTAGTTTTCACTTATGGTCTTTCATCATCTTTCGGTCTTGGAATAGCTTATATTGCCCCATTGGCATTAGGTATGAAGGTGAGAGAGTTATTAATATAAATTCAATTGAAATTTAAGATTTTTAAGTATTTATTAAAATAGTATTTGATTCATAACATATTAAGATTGAATAATGGTTAAATGTATTAATATTTATTTCAAATAAATATTGAAAAATTCAGATTCGTAATTTAAATATAATAAATTTTGTTTTTATAGTGGTTTCCAAATAGAAAAGGTTTAGTAAATGGAATTGTTGTTAGTGGTTTTGGTTTGGGTGCTTTAATTTTTAATCAAGTTCAGACCACCTATTTAAATCCGAAAAATTTAGTTCCAGATAAAAATGGGTAGGTTTAAATTTCATATTATTTTCATATAAATTATCAAATTAATGTGCACATTAGTTTAAGCATTGTTCTTTTTAAATAATAAAATACATTTATGTTCATTTATTCAAAAATTTTTGGTTTTATTTTTAATAAATTTATTTACTATAAACTTATTTCCTATAAACAATTTCTTATTTCTTCCAATGAATAGAAATTTAATATATTTTTTGTTAAATCAAAGACATGATTCTTAATAAAGAAGAGTTTTCAAATCTTCAATAATTTTAAAAATTTAGAAAAAGCATGAAATATGTTTATAAAAATGTTTTTTTATATATTTATAGTATTTCTTAATGTTATAACATAACATGATAAACATTATTTTATATTATTCACAGAAATTAATTATTTTTTCTTTTATCTGTTTTGTAAACAGACAATAAGTATATTTTTTGATGATGATAATATAGTAGATACATTTTTATCAGGGATGGACCAAATAGGATTGTTTGGCCAAATACCAAATAATTATTTGGATGTTACTATTACTGAATACTAGATACTGAATATTCTTGCCTTTTCTAACTACCATATACAGAATATTTAGTCAAATATTAGATGATTTACTGTATTTGGAACTGCATGAAAGAAAAAAGCTTAGATCAGTGTTTTCCAAACTTTTTGAACATTTTAATGCATATATTTCATTGGTGCTCCCATAAAACCAGTCAAAAATAATACACCAAAAATTGAATTTTAATAAAAGTTTTATAAACAAGAAACAATTGTTTAAAAGTATCTTAAAGTACTTAATTAATTAATATGAAAATAATCTGCGATGAGACTGATTTTTTCACATACTGCTTAATATTAGTAAGCAGCATTTTTAAATTGCTCGCTTTGACTATTTGCAATTGGGGTAAGACAATGAACTCTTATTAAACACTGCATGAAAAAGCAATTGGCAACATTTTCATAGCAAAACTTTTGAATAAATTTATGATGAAAGTTTTGTTGATATTACAAGCTTCAGTATTGTAGTTAGTTAAACATATCAAAATGAAAGAATAAGGTTTATTCTTTTAGTATTTCAGCTATATTTAAATAAAAAAAGCTTAACTTTGCCATTGTAATTCATCTTTTTTATATATTATTAACAAGATCACTCTATCGCTGAGCTTAAAGCCAGTGACAGTTTCATGAACAACTACAAATTTCTCTAATAATTTCATAATGAATTGGTCAATTTCTCCAATAGTTAGTTTACTTCTCTCAATTCATATGATTGCAACTTATGTATTTTCCATTCCACTTATGAAGAGAAACATTCTTCTGTCTCAAAAACTGACTTTACACTTTGATACAGTGTTTGAACCAAAAGTTTTTATCTCTTTTGTCTTCCAACATCTCTTAATGCCATCTTGCTTCCCAACACTCCCGTGAATCTTCTTCTGCTCCCAAGGGGGCTGTAGTGCCCACTTTGGGAATCATTTACTTAGAGTAAAGTGGAAAACAGAATCTTCTATTCAATAATAAAGATTATATAAATTTATATTAAAAAATATATATATTATTATTGATTGAAAAGTAAAGAATTAAGTGTTGTCATTGAGGTCTGATGTTTTTTAGTAGCCTGACAAAGTAGTGTATTTAGTGAATGTACAGTATATTCATCAAAGCTGGAAATATTATGACAAACAAAATCACTCACTACCCATGAATGCAGAAGCATTACTGTTCCTTCATTACAATTTATCACTCTTGAATTGTGATTATTAGTAAATTCACTCATGATCATTTATTATTCACTCAAGTAATATTCACTTAAGATTTATTAAAGTTATATTTATTTTAGAAAGGAAGAAATGACAATATTTTTAAATATCTAAATTTTTAAATGTTCTTTTCATTTTATTTTGTGTTTTATTTCCCCCCTCTTTTTCCTCTCTCCCTCTGTCACTAAAATGATATTGTTCAGCCAAATAGTTTGGCTTTGAGGAAGTACAGTGTTCAATCTGAATACTGAATAAGTACTTTGTGTCAAATACTAGACCCACACTAATTTTTATTTCAGATACATACATTATAATTTTAATTTACAAAATTTATTAGAAATAAATGCTATGTATTTTAGTGAATAAATAACATTATGAGTGCAGTATTTAAAATGTTTTGTTTGTTTATAATTTATTTACATTTTTTCTCAATTTTCATAATGTTATATTGTTTTTTAAAACATAATCCTCATTATAAGCATTACATTTTTTTTGCCAATGTGAAATTAGTTTTTATATTTTTTTAAATTTATCAAAAAGTTTTAAAACATTATTTCATCCATGTATTTATTGCCCTTTTCACTTTAAGTGACTCAAGCTGAATTGGAAAATACTGCAACACCCACCTTATTCACTTGATTTGACCTTAAGTGATTACCACTTATTCAAAGAAATGAAAAACCACTATGTGGGAAATGTTTTGTGTCATTTAATGAGATGAACTAAATGCTTGGATAAAATAGATTTTCAAAAGTTTTTTCAAGAAAGTTTTAAAAAAATTTAGTTTTGCATTGGCAAAAATGATAAAACATTGATAAAAAAATTATAAATTCCTAGAACTTTGTAAATATTTTATATATAATATGTTTTATAACGTATAATTAAAAGGTTATAGACTTTTAATTAATTGAACAAGATGTAGATAATTAGAAAAAGTAAAATAGAAATATTTTATTTTCTCCAATTGTGCTCAACACTGTGAATTAAATACAGATCATCACTTTCTAATTTAACTAATATTCATCAGAACTGAAAATAAACAATGTAAGAAAAATTTTCTTGCATTATTTATTTTAAATTACATTATGCTTTTGATTCAGTAGTTCTTCAAATCTTGATTTCAGAGTTATTGAGCTCTTTTGATATTTTCCTATCTTTGATCCTTTAATTTACTAGATTTACTATTTCTATCAATCAGATCTTCTCTACTCTAAACATTTTTAAAAATACCTTATCAATTAGTAACTTCTACTTTTATCAAAACTGCATCATCCCTGTTGAAAATCAAATAGTTCTTGATAAAATGTGTAATTAATGTATGCAGATAATAGAGAGTTCAATTTTCTTCTGGTTAAATTTTTCATCATACCTCATTCATCTTTCTTTGGTAATTTATTTGCTAATGTATCTGTTGAAATTATTTGTTTCATTTACAATCTTCTCTAATTGTATTGTTTATTTGAATAGTTAATCACTATTTTAATTTTTATTACTCCTTGAAAATATTGAAATTCATGCTTCATCTTTCCATTCTAGCTCTGTTAATGGTGTATTTTATCATTTTTAATATATATCCATAACTTAGGGCAATGATTCCTAAACTGGATGCTAGTGGATGGCGGTAGAAGACTCAATGAGGCACTATAAGAAATGTATGCACTAATTGGGGACAATAGTCTGAAAAAGGTTGGAAAACACTGACTCAGAGCACTCACTTTATGAGATGGAAAACATAAAATTTTCTATCTCACAAATTCATTATTATAAGAGTTGTTTTTAGTAGGTAATACTCGGTTTAAACCGGTGGCTGTGTACTATGCCGGACCAGAGTCAAGGCATAGCAACCAAAACAAAACTAAAATTAAATGTGTGTGTCAGTGTCTGTATTAAGGAATTTCCTAACAATATGGCATGTATTCAATATAGCGGCCTTCTGTAGTGTGATGTATGTATTTCTACTCAATTGTAATGTTCCCAGGCTTTTGTGTAGCATGTGTGGTATCACACCTGTACAGGAGAGAACNTCTAAAATGTGTTCTAATACCTAAAATATAAATTTTTAGTATTTTTGTTAATATTAATTTTATTGATTTAACAATTCATTCATTTTGGTTCTAAACACATTATATTTAAATATATTAATATTCATAAAAATTAAACAAACCTGCTGAAGAGCATCCATTTGATTAAGTACAGTCACATTAAATGAAGATGGAATTGTGTGCGCTTTGTCTAAAATATTTTTTAATAAATCTCTCACACCCTGTTAAAAAATAAAGTACACTTGTTGAAAACTAATTTTAAAAACAAATTTATTAATCTAAAATTTTAAACTTGAAATAATATCAGAAATTACATCTTTCATATAAATAACTTGTCAATTAAAGTCAATGTTCTTTAAAAATCATTTAATGTGATTATTTCAGGCCATAACTCATCTAATTATGAATTATTTACCCAAAGGAATTTATACTAAAGTGATAACTTATTATTATTATTATTAAAAATTATATGAAAAATCACTATGCATAATTCAGTTTTCTTATTAGTATTTCTATTTTATTTTTAATTTCTTGTTTCTATACTTTTTTTGGTTTTATTTCATTTTCTTGTATGTCAAAAAAGAGTTTTTTTATGTTCTATTGCATTACTAATTATGTTTTTATGAGATAAATAAATAGATTATTTTTCATGTAGTAGTTGTTATTAAATTTTATACTGTTGTACTTCTTTTAAATAAATATAAAAAATGAATAATACAATTATAATTAATTCAGTTTTACAATGTTAATTTAATTATATTGATGTTATAAATTCCCATTAACATAAGTTTTGATAGTATAAAAATTATAAAAAAATCAATACACAAAATCATTACAGCTGTCCCTTGATAGTCCGACGTTTTGTAGTCTGACATGCTCAGTAGTCCGATGCACCTCCCGTCAAGGTACTCGTCCCTGTTACGTGTCTGCTTGCACAGAAGCATGTCGTGATGTGAATCTCCCCACCCAATTCTTACACGATGACACACATTTTGTGTGTTTTCCGTGAGCAGTTCTTTTCGAACAGTTGGAGTAGAGAATATTGTAGGCTACTGCTAGCAAAACAATGCCAAATATGTAATCACTTTCGGTAATCCGGACACTTTTGGTAATCCGACACCCCTTTGGTCCCATACCTTTCGGATTATCAGGAACAGCTGTATTATATTAAGATGTATGTGCAGAATTTTTAATTAATGAAATTATGAAATATTAATTCACAACCAACATTAAATAAAGTAGCACAAAACAAGTATTTTTTTTTTTTGCATTAATTTATTAAAAAATTTATCATGCATTATTGATAAAGTTTTAATGTATTTCAATAAGTGCTATTACTATAAAATTTATTTTTTCTTTCAGGTTCAATAAATCTGAATTTTAAATAATGATAATTAAATACATTAAGCAATAAAAATAGTTTTGTTGATGAATATTCAAAAATAAAAATAATAGATCTACTTACAACACAAAGGACACACCCACTGCTTTTAGTTTTTCTTTATTGAAATTATCATTTTAAATATAAAGATTTTATAATTAATTTAGTCAAATTGATGAATATTTACAAAAAAAAAAACAGTATTGTTAATAATAATAATTACGTAATGAAACAAATACCAAGTGTAAGATTGTTTCCAGTTACATACAGTAAGCAACCTAAGAATACAACCTTTCAAATTTATTATGAACTTTATCTGTTTGAAGCTGCTCACATTCTACAACATTTTTTATAGGGCTATCTTATTTATTATCTATAAATATTCATCAGTCCAACTATTATTATCATCAATATGCTCATTTTAAAATGATAATCTTAACAATAAAATATTATGTTAATAGTGAATATGTCTTTAATTTTGTAAATAGCATACAAATGAATATCACTGGTTCATTCATTTAAAGTGATCATTTGTTACAGTAAATGTTTAGTTTAAATACTGTAAAAACTGTGTAAACTAGAATCACACAGTACTGAATTATTTTTTATATTTTGACAGGTTTTTATTTTAAACAGGTTTTAATATTATTTTTCCTTTTTTTGATCTTTAAAACTAGATACATACCAGATAAATGTCACAAATTATGTTTATTTTTATAGTACTTTTCACTTTAACATACATAAAAAATTATTACTAGATTTAATTCAAAGTAATTTTAACTAAAGATAGGGGTATTCAAATGCAAGAAGTGAGAACAATTCAATTGCAAAAATCCTTGTTGTTCCCAAAAAATTTTTTCTAGGTATTTGAATATTTCTCAGTTACAAACCTCATAAGCTCACACAACAGCAAACAAGCCAATTTGAGTACCAAGAACTAATATCTTGCTCTACAGTCAAAAATTTTAATCATATTACAGTAATGTAGAAATCAAGTTATTCTGTGATCTGACTTTTCAAGGAAATTTAATACTCTAATTAATTGTTAACTTTCAGTCTTTGTAATTACTAACATGCTAAACAACTTGTTTTTGAATACTTAGTACTAGTTAGTTGCAAATCTACAGTATAAGACAATGGCTAGATGGGCAAGTAGTACAACAGTTTACCAGTTGGAGGATCTGGGAATGAGTCTGGAGAAGTCAAAAAACTTAGGAATTTTCTTAAGGATGGTCAATCCAGATATGTCAGGCTATGTCCCTCACCACCCAGCCACACCATTGTGGCCTTGCCAAACCCAGAATGGGTTTGATTAACAGGTCCGCTTAATGCCCACTTAGTAAAAAAAAAACTATACAAGCGAAAGTGGCATCATGTGTTACTTTATTTTCATTATTTTCACAAATTACATTTGTTATTTGTTTTCAGAAACACATTTCAATTCATGGAAGTTCTTGATTCTGCCCCTGGTTAATTCTAACAAAGACATTGTGTCCTCAGCATGTTACAGTTTAGTATGCTCTGAAATGACTGTTACACATGGAGGCCATTTTGTTTGTCTACAAGTCAAATCTTAATTTTTCTGCTTTATTCTGGTTAAGTTACATTTTTCGTACCCAAAAACATCTTTCATTTCTGCATTGTCTGGTTTATTTTAAAATTTAACATTCTTTTGCATTTTTTCCATTTAGACAGGTTTTTAGTTTATTCATGTTACATTTTAGACAGGTTTTACTGTATTAGTTTTGTTTGAAGCACTCAAATAGCATATTCTTTTAATATGATTGATACTGTTTAATTTTTAGGTATTACTGTCATAAAATTGAATACAACATTTTAAGGAAAATTATTTTATAAATTTGAAAACTATAAAGAACTTGAACTATATTTTCAGTAATAAAAATCTTATACAAATATTTTTTAGTAAAGTTAGAGTAAATGGCAAATACATTAATGTTAAAATTGTTTTAAATGTTAAACATTATCATTCCTGTTTTCATAATCAACTGTAACTATTTACATAACATTAGCAATTACATGATATAAAGTTTTAATAATATAGATACTGTAATACCATTAATCCTTTTTTTTAATTCAGTAGTTAAGTGTAAAGTATTTTCTGTTTTATATAAAATAGTTAGGAATGTTTAACATACATAAAAATTTTGCATATAATACAGTTCTGATAAATTGTAAATAATAATTTATTTTTTTTTGTGAAAAATGTAATATGTTCTCTGAATCTGTTATTAAAATAGCATGCAACTTCTTTATGATTGATCTTTTTCATGTTTAACAAATGAACAATGAAGATTAAAAAGTAAAATGACCTTTATATATGCTCAAAGATTTAATTCAGATTCATATTTTGGAAAATTCATGGTTTATAAATGAAGTCAGAATTCATTCATTAAATCTATATTAATCCATTTGTAAAGGATTTAAAAAAAAAAGAAAAACATACTGTTAACTTACGAAATAAATTATTCACAAATTGATCACAAATTAAAAATAATTTAATTTTTAATTTAATTATATTTTAAATTTATAAATTTTTCAAATATTAATTGTCTTTAACAAGTAACAAATAGTATATTTTTTATTTTAATTTTTATTTATGATTTATCATTATAATCATATTTAATATTTTATTTTATAAGTAGTAATTTAGTGACATAAATCAGAGATTTCAGAATATTTATCTACAGTACTTTTTAAATTATTTATAATTGTAAATTTTTATATATATGAAAGTTAACAGTGAAGAATGTAAGTAAATTCAAAATTTTTTCAGAGATGATTAATGTTTTAATAGAAAATTTTATTGATTTTATTTTTACTTTTTCAGAAATTAAAATATAGAAATGTTATTTATTTCTTGACAGCTATTTTGAAGATGATGAAATATTAGATAGAGTACCAACAGTTTTCCTGTTACTAGGAGGAATATATTTTATACTTCAAATAATTGGAGTTATTTTATTATTTAGCCCTCAATTAGAATGGAATGAGGTAATGACAGAATTGAAATTGTTGTTACTTCTTAAATATAATATAAATACATAAAATTAAACTTAATTTTTAAAAATTTTAGTATCAAATAGATTTCAGTGCTGTTACAAATATATTTATATTATTTTTATAAAGTGTGTTTGAAGTTTAATAATTTCTGATAATATTGATTCTAATCTAAAGTCTCAATTTATTATTTTAAAAAATTTCAGTTTTTAAATATCCAGTATCACATTTTCTATAAAAATTCATGTAACTTTGAAAATATAAATGACAAAAAATAAAATAATTGGTCATTTAAATTTAAAATAATAGGTCATTAAAATTTACAGAATTTATACAGAAACATAATTAATGTCATTTTGTTAATAAAATTTTAAAAGAAACTTAATGATTAAGGATAAATATAATGTTAATATTTTATTTTTAATATTCAAATTATAAAATTTTTAGAATTTTATAGTTTGAATAATATTTTTAAAAGCTAACCTTATAATTACCATCATTATTTTTAGATTGATATTAATTATTCTTTTTGTAAAAGATTTTATTCTGAAAGGATAATGATTTTAGTTGTAAAATTTTGATTTATATTTCCTATTAGTGAATTCTTTGTAGAACATAGAATAAATAATTAAATAAGAAAACATTTCATAATTTTTATAGAATAGAAATCAAATGTTATAATAAACAATAAAATATTAATAAAGACAATTTTAAAGGTTTTTTTTTCTTTGATTGCTTCAAAACTGAAGGAACCTGTTATAAAATAATAAAATATTTTTTTCATTATATAAACAAAACTGTTTTTAGAATGAATGGCTTTGATAGTGAAATATTCTGTTTAATGTTTTATCTATTTAAATCTGTAAAGTTCAGTTATAAAACAATAATAATTACAAATTAACCAAGTTTTATTAATAAAAATAATTTAATCTAATAATTATTGAAACGTAATGCAAAATTGTAGGTGTAGTAATAATTGCATGTATGACTTGACTGAAGAATGATCTGGATTCAAAAAATTCTTTGATGGATATTTCACCTGAAGCCATGCAGGTCTTTTGTTCCACCTAGAAAATTTTCCAAGTTGGTGACTTAATGCTTATTTTTAGGATGATATTAAAAAAGTATAGGCATTGGAAGTTTTTAAGGGAATTGACATTCAGAACCTGATACTGGGAACACCCATTACTAGTACTCAGGCCACACCTATGACAGTAACATCAGCAAATCTTTATTAATAGCAAGTTATAGAGCTTATACTTATTTAAAGCTAATTATTTTAAGAATCTTGATTATAGTATTTCATTTCAAAAATAAATACTTTAAATATATAGGTTTAAATTTTTAATATTTTTCTATCTTCTTAAAGCTAGATTTTATTTATTATAAAATTGTTAAAAAAATAAACAGACATTTTTTCTGTCTTACTTAAACTTTATAACAAAACTAACTATTAAAAAAATTGTTTAGTTACTATTATTTATTTATATTTTTCTATTTTCATTTTCTTCATTGTTTACTTATAGAATATATTTTTAAATCTATTTTTCAATGGTGAGAAAATGAAAGAAGCTTGTGTATTTCATAATAAAAATTTTGTATATTTATTTCAAAATATATAAAATTTGAATATTAAAATGTTTAAATTTTTAAAATAAAAGTTTGCTTAAAATAGATTCACAGATCAAGAAACTATGACCTATTCATATATTGATGAATATAACCTATTGATAATCTATTGATAAATAGGTTATAGTTTCATGATCTATTGATAATTGATTTATATCTACAAACTTTATTGTTTAAGTATTATTTAACATTGAATGTTAAATGAACAAATGATTATTATTATTAAATAAATTATTTGGTAAATTATAAATAAGAAATTTTAGTATTATATTTTGGTTTTTTTTTCTATTTTTTAATATTATTTTCTTACAGATACTTAAAAAAAATTTAGTAACATGAAATTGAATATTTTATCTTTAATAGTATCATATTTTTTATTATTATAGCAGAAATTATAATAAAAATAATTCATAAAATGCAATTTATTTCAATATCCAAATACTTTATCATTGTAATTAATCAAATCATAAAGATGATGAACTAATTTGGATTTAACCAAACTGGATAAAAATAATTTATTTTAAATTTTGTTTTAATTTTTATGTAATCTCAGTTTCACTTTTTCATTTCTAAGAGAAATTTTCTGGTTTGCTCCCTTTTATGAATATTATAAATCAATTTATTGGCTATTCTGTTTAATTTGTACTGCAATTGAATAAAAGGAAATTTTACCTTTCCTGGCTAGTTGCCAGTTGGTTTTCAACTAAAATGATTTATGTATAGAGAAATAATTTTATTCAAAAAATTTCCACTTTGATTGATNTAATCAATTGTTGATATATTTATATTTATAGAATGTATGAATAATATATAAATAAAATTGTTTAAGATATTCTTTTTTGTTTGATTTGATTTAAAAACAAATTGTCAATTTAATGATAAAGAATACCATATGTTTACAGTGCTTCATGTCCACATTTTCTATTGTATTCATTTATGACTCCCATTAAGGGCTGTCTATAAATTACATCTGCATTTTTCTTGAAATTTTTACTCCCCCTCCTCTATTTGGATGTCTAACAAAACTCGATTGAGAAGTCCTTTATATATTGTAACATATTAGAGAAGATATGGATTTATTTCAATCATTAAATCAAATTAATATGAATTTTCTTTGAAAATTCATATTAATTTGATTTAATGATTGAAATAAATCCATATATTGAGATTTTAATATCTGAATTACAACAGTAGTACTTTAATTACAGTGCACTCTTGCTAATCTGAATGAATTTTGATAATTTTTGCCATCAAATGTTTCAGCCAAAAATAAAAAACAACCAGATTATTTTTTTAAAACATGATGAATTTGTAAAATTAATATGTAGTGCACATTCTAATGTAAATATATGTACTAAATATAGTCTAAAATTTTTAAATGTTTATTGTCTAATGCAGATCCACTGGGTGGTGATGGGATGATTCCCTCTCCTGATAATTTTTACTACCAACACAAGCTTTCATTGTCAGTATGTTACATGTTTTTGAATTCATTTTATAATAAAATAAACATGACTTTTAAGAACCATAGTTTTTGGGTTTATCTTGAAGAGTGAAATGGTAAAGTTTTCTATAACAATTATATAATATTGTTTAACTACATAAATTAAAAATCATCTCCACTATTCACTCTTTGATCCACTGCAGAACTGTCTGAAGTTCTTTTTGACTTCTATTTTTTTATAAGCACACTAATGCAAACAACTCTGTAATAAGTTTGGATTAGTGAAAATATATTGTAAAGTATTACTTATTACTTTCATATTCCTTTAGTGAACACTAGCCAAGTACAGGTAAAGAACATTGAAGAAATATTTAGTAAAAAAATATAAATATATAATTTTCATTTAGTATTTTAAAAATTGTGGTCCCTATAATTTAAAAGTGGTGATATTTTATTTATATTACTAATTTTTGTATATTCATTCTTAACGTGCCTAATCCATATTCTTTTATGTAAAGCTTAACAATATTTAATATAAAGTTTTTAATTATGTAATATACTCTACATATTTAAAAACTGAAGAGTTATATTAATATATTTCAGTCATATTCAAATCTGTTGAAATCTGGGAATCAAGAAACAGATAATGATGATTCGTCTAAAGAAGATTTGCAGCTTCCTGCAATTGATCGTAGTTTAAAACCAAGTGAAATAATATTAAAAAAAGAATTTTACATGTTGGCTTTGACATTTGCTTTAATAATACAATGTGTTCAGTTTATTAATACTATGTATAAGGTAAGAATGTATTAATTATATTTTAATAATTAAATGATTTAACATTTATTTTAAAAATTTGAATTGTTTTTCAGGCTTATGGCCAGACATTTATAGATGACGATCACTTTTTATCCTGGGTGGGGTCTTTAGCATCCATTTTTAATTCTTTAGGTAGGATAGTTTGGGGTCAGATTCAAGATAAGACTTCTTACAGAGTATGTTTTTTATTATTTATTATTATATTTTTAATTTATAAATTAATTTAAAAATGTTAATAAATGATTTTAATTCTAGTCATGTATGTTGTGTTTGAGTGGAGCTTTAAGTAGCTTGATGCTAAGCTTGATTGCTACATCATATGATGGAAAAGCAATGTTTACAATATGGATTCTTGGCATCTTCTTTACTTTCTCTGGACTCTTTGTGTTGCTACCAACAGTCACAGCACAACTATTTGGACCAAAATATGCAGGCACTAATTATGGGCTTTTGTTTATTGCACAAGTAAGTTAATATAAAATATTGAAACCTTTTTCCCCCCTCTTAAAAAATTAAAAATAAATTTTATTAAAATAATAAGAAATTTTTTAGTTTAATTTCATTGAATATAAGACAAAAATAATCCATAAGAAAATTCTTCCATGTTACATTTCTTACAATTAAAATGGCCTAAAATTATAACAGGATTTATATAATAATAATAATTATTATTATTATTATAATTATTATTATTATTAGAGCTAATGATGATATAACATTTATTTAAAATGATAATACTTGTCAATCAATGTCATATTTGAAATACTGTTACATTATTTGCAAATAAATAGCCCTTTTTATAAAACTTTTATTCTCAAACTTAAATAAATTTGTACACATTTTTGTAAAATGGACAATTTATCAAGATTGTGCTAAAAATGTCATGTAAGAATACTTGAAATAAATGGAATGTGTGCTAAATCTGGTCACTAGCTAGCAAAATGTATAACAAATAATATAAATAGTTTGTATCATTGTTTAAAATGTAAAAAAAGAATTGACCTGATTTTTGTGTGATTAGGTCATACAGAGTTCACTATTTAAAAATACTTCTTAATCTCTGCATTAAAATTTTTTATTAATAATTTCAAATTAAATCATAAAGTTTTGATAAATATTTAATTTGTAGGTTTTATTAAAACTAAATTCATATTAATTTATTTGCATTATTTTCTTAGAAATTGAAAAAAGTCATATATTTTGTTTAATTTTATATCCAAATAAAATAGTTTGAAATATAGAATAATTATTCTGAGTTTTCATGATATCACATTGGAATAAGGATTTATGTTAATATTTATTAAACACTCGTTTAATATTTTCTCTTATAGAATAAAATGTCATTGAAATTTTGATCACTATGCATTTAATAATTTAAGCAATAAAACTTTAAACAATGTCATCCAGAAATCTTATGTATTTAACATAAATCAGTAATTTTGTCTCCAACTAATAATTTTAAACATAAAATTTTTTTGTGAACTACACAATGTATTTTCTGATGTTTCAGGCCATATCTTCAATTTTGGGAGCATTTGTCATTCAAATATTATTATCATCTTTACATTGGTTTGGGACTTTTATGCTTCTTGCAACATTTGCATTTTCAGGTTAGTCTATTTCTTATTTTTTTATATTAAGTTTTTTATTATAATTTAATAATTATTTTTTAAATTTTTAGTTGGAATTATCACTTATTTCTTTCCAAGCAAAACAGATTCTTACTATTCATAGATAATTAGTAAGTTTTTGAATTACTGTAATGATCTCTGTCTGATTGTCACATGTTACTGATATAAAGTTATCAACAACCTAGTCATCAATTATAGAGAGATAAAGATGTAATCTTCATTAATTAGGGATCAAGACTCAATTGAACAGTATTTCAAGATAAGAATTTTTAAATTTAATTGAAAATAGGTTTTTGTTATATATATATATATGTATGAGTTTTAACTCTAATAGGAAAACAGATATTACATATAAACAAATAAAAAATGTATATTTAACAAATTAATTTATAATGAGAAGAAATTTTATAAACATAATAAAAACTTTTGATATGTATTACTATGTAATATACATTATTAAATATTTTAATCATTGTAAAAATATATTATGGAGAATTTGTATGTATAAATTTTAATCTGCAATATGTAAATATTGTCAATTTTAGATGTTTGATATTACTGCTTATTCCTCTATTTCTTAAATACTAAAAAAATATCTAGTAATGAAATCTTATCTTTCTCTTTTGTCTGCAGAAAAAACTCATTAATTTATGATCAAACAAATAATAGACCTGTAAATATATATGTACGAACAAATATTGAAAAGGTAGGTTACTATATTATTTGTTTTTATCTTGAAAAAATTTAATTTTCTGTTTGTTTGCCATTGGAGATAGTGTGTTTGGAATTAATAAATAAAATATTAAATTACTAAAAATACAATCCAGCTCAATGAAATATGCTAAAACAAGAAGAAATTTGAAGTTTCTAAAATTGAAGATGATTTTGTTTCCATATTTCAAATTAAACAAATTATCTTCTGTTTCTGGACTAGCCTATAAACTGGATACAAGTTGAATCTCAGTTATTTAACTTTAAGGTTATTCAACAATTTCAATAGTTTACTTTTAATGTGGATCCAACCATTTCAAATACTTTTGTTTTATAAATTGTTATATTATGAGATATGACAAATTTAGTTCAGTTTGATCTCCCAAAATACATATTACAGACATAAAAAGATGTCTTTTTTTGTAAAAATGTAATTTTAAACTTAACTTTCTCATTGTTGATTTATGTTATTTTGCAAAAACATATTATTTTCAGAGATTATAAAAATATAATTTCTAAATATAAGATTTAACCTAAATTTTGAGTTTCATACTTGACCAATTGTATCTCTGAATATAGTATTTTTTTTTTTGTGTTAAAAATTTAAGGATTAATAAGAACAAGAATGGATTTCTCAGAAAAAAATTTTCTTTTATATAAAATAAATGTATGCTTTAGAATTATGAGAACATTAGAAACTATTGGACTTTTGTTAATAATCTTGTTTTTGCTTTATGAATGATAAGATCATCATTCAGAAGGATAGATTTACCCCAAGAGAAAACTGGCTCTGGACTCTTTATAAAATTTCTATATCATGTCGAGGACAATAGATCTTTGACTCAGAATGAAATAATGAAAATAATTAAAATTCATCCATTATTTTTATCATAATTTTGTGTTGCTTATTGAATTTAAAAAATTTATATCCATAATTTTATTTATTTATATTCTTTATCTTGTTGATAGCTATAAGCTATACCTCAGTTTTTTCCTTAAGATCTGATAAAGCTTACTCTCCTTTGCTAAAATTTTTAATAGCTTTTTCCATTTAAAATACAAAGTTTAACTTAAGATTATCTCTGTAATGATGAGAATACATTTTTTCCCTCTGTTTTCAAAATTAATCATAATTTTTAAACAGTATTATATAGAATGACAGTTAAAACTATGAAAGCCTAAACTGATAGGTGAATCAGATTACTAATGTGGGTAGCTTAACAGAAACTTGTATATTTTTGTCAGTTCTAGTCAGCATAGTCAATGTTATTTATCGAACAGATTAATAAAAGAAATTGAAACTTTCAAAACATTATTTATAATAGAATTGAACATGTTATTTATTTTAATTATGATATAACTCAAGCATTAAATAAAGGAAATTTTTTTTCAAATTAGAAAAATATTGTAATTAGTAAGTACTATTAATTTTTGAAATTTTTCTAAAGATCCAATAAAAATCTGTAATTAATTTTAAGGAGATAATTCCAAACAGAATCATTCCAAAATATATTTTATACTCAAAGCAATTAAATTTACTTGACCTTTGCTCAATTGTAAACAGTTTATTAAATATGCAGCTTCTAGCAATTTGATTTTCAAAGAAGTAAAATAGTGTTAATAGCCACAATATGGCTAATTTGGACAATATGTCTCAATTAATATCTAGTAAAATATTTAATTTAAATTTCTCAATTTTAGATATATGATTTTTCATTAAAAAATTTTTATATGTTAAAAATTTAGTTCTAATGTATAGAAATTATAATTATAATATTGTTAATCTACTTTAAGTTCTACAGTTGAGCATCAAAAGAAAAATTTTAATAGAATTTTTATGATATAAACAGAATAAACTTGGTCAAATCTGTAGTTTTTATCAGATAGATAAAATCAAAACTATCTTATTATTTTGTATAATAATTTGAATAATACAGGGAGGCCTAAAAATTAGCAAATTAAGATATATTCTTAAGATTACTTTAAGAATGGTTAAAACTGGCTTGGAACAGCTGCAGGTTATTATTTGTAATCAGTCACTTTGTTGGAGGCAACTGAATTATAAATAATATGCAGGTGTTCCAAGTTAGTTTTAACTATTCTTATAATTTGTTAACTGACTTTTGAACCATCTTGTGTATTAAAGTTACATATATTAATGAATTTGAAATTCTTTAAAAACAATTTCAATAATTAATAATGTATGTATAGTAATTCAAATTTTGAAGAGTTAAGCTTTAAAATTAACCACATTCTTTGTTAATTATAATTATTAGTACTTATATGCATAATATTTTTAACCTTGTGATAGTTTTATAATCATAAAATTCTCATTATTAAAATATTTATGAAAAATGACATATTTAAAAAAAGTTGATAAAATGATAAAAGAGAATTTGTGTGAATTGTTGTATATTACTCATTGTAATCAATTGTTGATATATTTATATTTATAGAATGTATGAATAATATATAAATAAAATTGTTTAAGATATTCTTTTTTGTTTGATTTGATTTAAAAACAAATTGTCAATTTAATGATAAAGAATACCATATGTTTACAGTGCTTCATGTCCACATTTTCTATTGTATTCATTTATGACTCCCATTAAGGGCTGTCTATAAATTACATCTGCATTTTTCTTGAAATTTTTACTCCCCCTCCTCTATTTGGATGTCTAACAAAACTCGATTGAGAAGTCCTTTATATATTGTAACATATTAGAGAAGATATGGATTTATTTCAATCATTAAATCAAATTAATATGAATTTTCTTTGAAAATTCATATTAATTTGATTTAATGATTGAAATAAATCCATATATTGAGATTTTAATATCTGAATTACAACAGTAGTACTTTAATTACAGTGCACTCTTGCTAATCTGAATGAATTTTGATAATTTTTGCCATCAAATGTTTCAGCCAAAAATAAAAAACAACCAGATTATTTTTTTAAAACATGATGAATTTGTAAAATTAATATGTAGTGCACATTCTAATGTAAATATATGTACTAAATATAGTCTAAAATTTTTAAATGTTTATTGTCTAATGCAGATCCACTGGGTGGTGATGGGATGATTCCCTCTCCTGATAATTTTTACTACCAACACAAGCTTTCATTGTCAGTATGTTACATGTTTTTGAATTCATTTTATAATAAAATAAACATGACTTTTAAGAACCATAGTTTTTGGGTTTATCTTGAAGAGTGAAATGGTAAAGTTTTCTATAACAATTATATAATATTGTTTAACTACATAAATTAAAAATCATCTCCACTATTCACTCTTTGATCCACTGCAGAACTGTCTGAAGTTCTTTTTGACTTCTATTTTTTTATAAGCACACTAATGCAAACAACTCTGTAATAAGTTTGGATTAGTGAAAATATATTGTAAAGTATTACTTATTACTTTCATATTCCTTTAGTGAACACTAGCCAAGTACAGGTAAAGAACATTGAAGAAATATTTAGTAAAAAAATATAAATATATAATTTTCATTTAGTATTTTAAAAATTGTGGTCCCTATAATTTAAAAGTGGTAAATAGAGGTATAGAAAAATTGCTATTATATTTGAAATTAAGAGGTGGACGGAAAGTAGATAAACAAATGCAATTTCAGGCCTGTTGCATTTGTTTAAGTGCACTTGCAAGTGAAGAAATTCATGCTGTGACATGTCTTGTCACACACAGAATAAAAGTTTTGTACTGTCAATAAAACAACATGGGGGAAAAAGACAGAACAAGCTCCTTGCCAAAAGTGTAATTCAGTACTATGAACATATATCAGGACACAGTAAGAAAAAAATTGTTGTCCATTTTATGGAACAAGATATGAGAAAAAGCACTTTTTATGCCATTTTGCAAACATATGAAGAAATGGGACAAGACAATTACATTCCACTTTTTGGTTTTCCCCTTTTCTCAATCCACTCTGAAAGTTGATGAATGCTCCATAAACTTCAATCAGAAATGAATTGTCAAAATTGTTGTTGCCAAAGACAACTTTACACAATATCAAAGTCAAGAAGTTGGGGATCAAGGAACATAAGAAGCAAACTGCACCAAAGTATATAAAGGACTAAGCAGAGAGCAAAATGAAGCTGCAGAAAACTTCATGAAAAAAGTATGAGAAAGTATCTCATTATTGATGATGAGATTTATTGTCCATTTGACCCTGGAAACATCCAAGGAAAGCAATATTATCATGTTATGAATCCTCGGGATATTGCCTATGAGGAAAAAGTCCAGTCTAATGAAAAATTCTACAAGGAATACATAATTTTGCTGATCATGGATGCTTCTGGGAAAATTTCAGATGCTTTTGTTTGTGAAGGTACAATCACTGCTCAGGTTTATCTGGAGGAATGTCTGAAAAAAATGACTGTTTCCCTTCACTAATAAGCACTATTTCAGGGATGTTTCTATCTTCTGGCCAGATTTAACTATATTGCATTAAGCAAAAATTGTAACTGCTTAGACAGCAAAGGCATTGAATACATATCCAAGAAAGACAATCTCCAAATGTCCCACAAGCATGTGGCATTGAGTGCTTTTGGGTGAAATACAAAGAGTATTGCAAATGAAAAGTTCCTGCCAAAAATGTCTGGTCTTTCTGCCAGATTTGGGGATTTATCAGCCAAAAAGCTGCATCCACCTCTGGAAAATCTCTCATGGACCATGCTTACAAAAACATTCAATTGCATATCATGGCATCAGTGCCAACAAATAATTATTACTGTTTCTTCATAATAATTATTATTAGAAGAAAAACAGTTGTAAAAATCATTGTTACATGAGCATTAAAGTAGGAGTTGCAGAACTTGGGGTGTTAATGTTGTCAATTTACTTTCCATCTACCTCTTATTTCTGAATACTTAAACAAATATTATCCAAAAATTAATCTGCAATATGTACAATACAACTGGATATAAAATGAATATAAAATTTTTCCATTTTAAGTCAATAAATTAAAGATAACATTCATTCAGATCTCTTAATGAAATAATTTTATTTATATATTGAAGAGCAATTGTTTATTTGAATAAAAAAGGATCATAAGGTAACATTCCTTTACACAAATGACTTTCACATAAGCACTTTTTTGTCTTTTGATTAGGTTTTAATGACTTTATTAACTCTTCATACTTCTGACTATCCTCACTAGAAAATATACCACCCGAATAATCGTAACAAAGTTCTTCCAGTGGAAGTATATCTCTTGAAGCAAACAAGCACAGTTTTGGTATTACAGAATTTGTTCTGACTGGTATCATAAATAAATTAGGATTGCAAGAATGATTGAGAAATCTTCCAACATTTCCATAATATCTAGGATCCACTATAGTTTCTATTTTCTTCTCACTACCTATATGCTCGTTGACCACTATTATATAATTATTGTCATCACTGTTTAATGAAAAACGACCGATTGCCTCATTTCTGGTAAGAATTTCTCCTGCATACTCGCAAACAAATTTATGCTTCTTGATTAAATGTAATGTCTTTACACCAAATCCTTTATTTGAAGTATCAAATATACAGAAATTAAATTGTATTCCCCATTGAACAACCCTGTTTGGACACTGATCTGTACAGCTACATGACGAGTTGCATTCTACAATAAATCTGTCATATTCTTCTTGTCTTTCTATTAATAATCCATTATTGTAACTAGGCCCAAACCAGCGCAAACAAGAGCATCCCATTAAGCATTTTTCAGGGCATTTACATCCACAATATGCTGAATAAAAATTGTCTAAGTCAATCTCAGGACCGGGAATGCTAGTGGAAATATACTGAAAATTTAAAAATATATGTATTAATAACAAAAGTAATTTTTCATTTTAAATTTTAAAAACAAGTATTAATAATACAAAATTTATTAAGTTATTAAAATTTGACTTTCAATGTTATTTTTTTCAAAATTTACTTTGCTTACAAGCAACCAAAGGTAAATATGTAATTTTAATGTTGCTTTTAAAAAATAACTTGCCTTAATTTATTTAAAAGAAATGGTAACATCCTCTTATAATTAGAAATTAAGTGTTTAAAGTACAAATCAATCAAAACAAAAAAGAAAATGATTTAGAAAAGAAAGGAAATTTAATGACTAACATCTTCAGTTGCTAATAACCTTTCATAATAATTTCTTGAGATTCTTTCTTAAGAAAGAAATATAAAACAAATAAAAGTATCAGAGAATTAAATTAAACTTGAATCTTTTGAATATGGTATAAAGTTCCAAAAAATAAACTTCTAAGGAAACCAAGGTATTTATTAGAAAAGATATAAACAACTATTAATTCAAATAAAGTTTTTGAAAACTATTCTAATTGTGCTATTTAAATATTTGAAGTATACAGTATGTTACTTTTATTTTAACAAATTATTTCATAAGATGTTTTATTTTATGATTTAAAATACATGTTTCAATGACTTCATATGTTCAAATAGCACCATTAAATATTTTTGAAAAAGTGTTCTTTATTCAAATTTGTCATCATTGTGATCTGATTGAGGCAAAATGTCTCATAAAGCATTTAATCTCAAGAAAAAAGTTTGGAGTAATTTAGCCCAGCATCAGCCTGTTTATTTTCTAATAAATACTTTGGCTTGGTTAATGAAGCATTTAACTAAAAATTTAAAAAGATTATTATAATTGTATTAGTGTCCTAACTGCTAGAGTAAACAGTTTTTAGTTTATTTCTTATCAAGATTATCCCCAAAAATCTTATGCCTTTTTCTTTTTTGTATTATTTGTAAAAAATTTTTTGCACTTATTTTGAATATATAGAATATTCAAAAAATGAATTATTAATGCATAGTTCTTGATCCTACACAGTAAAATATTTTATCATCAATAAGATAAAGATTTTCAGCATTGCAATTTCTTATATTTTCCAAAAAATTAAATTATTTAGAATTTCACAAAAAAAAAAAAAAAAAGTTTTGATAATCAGGATATGAAATCTAAATAGAATAACAGATAATTATAATTTTGCATTTTGTATAATTTTGCATGTTTTAGCTATTAAAAAAATTATAAATCCTGTTTTTTCATATTAGATTTATTTATTCCACATCATAAACAACAAGTACAGTGGGTGATCGGTTAACGAACATAATCCGTTCCAAGACTTTGTTCGATGCGCCGAATTGTTCGTTAACCGATTATCGATTTACCATAGGTTTCTATGGGAATTTGATTAATTGGTTCTGGAGACCCCCCAAAATAAAAAAATATATACTTTCTTACTACCTTTATTTATATGTATTGATGATGATAAAAATACATACATACATAGTCTTGTGTTTTTATTAGTCGTGTTTTTTTTCTGTTTGAAAGGGTTAAAGAATCTGTCTAATGTCGATTGCTTTTCTCTCTTCTTCAGGATTTTTCGTAAGTAATTAATAGCATTGCAATTGCAGAAATCCCCAAGCCTTAACCTGGTTTGGATGCCATTCTAAGACCGTTGTTCTGACATCCTCCCACTTCTTCAAAGGATCTTTAATATAAGATATCGGCATTAATCCTCTTTTTCAGAAGAAAACATATCTCGCCGAGTTTCTTGGTGTTCTTCATTCAAGAGTTCTTGGCGTTCTTCTGTCGTCAGATCCATTTCGTGTTCCATTATGAACTGTTCGATATTCTTTATTTCTCAGATGTGATTTTTGTTACTCCTTTAGCTGCTTGAGTCTTCTTGATTATACAGTATGTTTCTTAAATAAGATTGAACTTCAGCCTACTGTAGACCTGTTTACGCCATACTGCCCAGCAACATTAGGCATCTTCTGCCCACTCTCTACCTTTGCTATTATACTCTCACCTTTCGAAAAGAAAAACAGACGCAAAACTTAACGAGTGCCTACCCGACAGTCTCATGAATACATAAAATAATTGTTTTGTCAGAAAAATAAAAGGCTGAAATTACAACAAAGAGTTTCAAAGTTCAGAGGAATAATATCCGATCGGTATATATCGGCTTGAGCGTCGATGTCGACGTCTCCCACACTCCGAAAAGTTTTGAATTGTTGCCCGAAGACAAGGGAAGACCAATTGGTATTCATTAATTTACGTCGCTTCTTCTTGTGTTTGTTCTGTGGGGTGTTCGTTGTCTGAACATAAAAATCTTTCGCGAAAGTGTTCGTTATCCGATTTGTTCATTATGCGATCTGTTCGTTAACCGATCATCCACTGTACTTTAAATTGTGATTTAATCAATCTTGAATGATTCAATATGTATTTTGTTTGATATCATTACAAAAAATACCTCAAAGTAAAAATATAAATTTTTATATAAATCCAAGTTGATAATATACATTAGATACAGATTCACAAGTCTCATGAAAGATAGAGATCATAAAATTCTTAAAATATGGCAACTACAGTACACAGAGGAATTTTTGTAGATTTACAAAAATTTAAAAAGTAAGGCCATTAACTGCAGAAATGATAAACTATTCACTTCTTGGAAGTGGCTAACAAGAATTATGAAGGGCGTTTCAATTACTAGTAGTAATTTACCTTTGCTATAATTTTATACTGTCTGCTTCTGTTCCTCTATGAATCCTTGTTTATTTTTAATATATTTCTTACTTCATAATTTGTAAATTTTTGTTTAAATTGTTTTTATAGTAATAAAACTTTTATTCAATGTAACTATTCCTGATAAGCAAAGTAAAAGTACTTGATTATTTTTGTCATTTTGCCTGTTAAAGCATTTTATTATTGAATTTGATAAACTGAATTGTAAACTTTATCATCAATCAAATGCTATCCTATATAAAAAATTAGAAAGCTAAATATATCATTCTGACTTAAATCAATCATGTCTTAATTAAAATTCTAGCATTATGAAACAAAATTGTAATTAGAAGTTATTGGTTCCAAAATTTCCATGAATCAAATTTTTTGTCTTAGAGAATTACATAAAAATAATTCAATTTTATTAAAATGAGTCTACTTTTTGAATATTCAGTTTAACTAAGATATGTTAATATGTTACGATTAAAAAAGCATATTATCTGTCCATATGTGACAAAGATTAGACAGCTCAGGGTCATTTAGTTCATTATTTAGGATTCATATTATTACTGTTTATTATGTTTAGTGATGCCATATAGATTTTGCAGAGTAAACAAATGGAACAGTATGCAATACAATAATAGCCAGTTCATAGAAGTGCATCTGTTATAATTCTTCAAATTCATCACATTCAGTTTTACTGTAATAGATTTTGTATCTGTGACACTGAAGGCCAAACATACGGATTAATTAAAGATATATGATTGATAAAAACATGCACACATTTGAAAGTTTATATATATAAAGTTTCAGGAAGAGAGAAAAATAAAGAGATAGCTTCAAAAGTAATAAAATGAGAGATAACTGTTAGAAACAGAAAAATATACATAAATATAAGATTATGGCAATAGAAAATGTGAATACCAAATTTCCAAGAGAGATTTAATAATTATCAAGTTGGTATTTAAGTAAATGTTTTGTATTTAGTATTTTAAATAAAGTACAATAAAGTATTATATTGTACTGAATAGGAAAATATTTAATAATAAAGTTCAATCATGCTAAGTGTATTCAAATGCCATAGATCAGAAGAATAAACAAAATAATTATTTTAGTTTTTATAAAATCAAATTAGAAACAGAATTATAATAGTTATTTTAACTTTGTAGAACTGTTAAGAGATATAGTCCATTGAAAATGATTACAATGGGCTTCAGGATTTGATGGATGTCCATTTGGTCTTGCACAGGTGAAAAACTGTTTTCCAAAATTTGGGCCTGCTTTTTTAACTGTTCGTAAAATGCATGGTTCTTTATGTCCTTTACATAAAGGTGATTCTGGAGGACCATGTAATATATTCTTCCAAATTTCTCTTTGTTTATTATTTAATACCTTACGGTCATCTGCATTGGCTTTAATATTTTCATTATCACTTTTTACTTTATTAATGTTGTAATTTGGTTCTTGTTCTGACATTTTGCTTTGTTGACATGTACTACTATCAGAATTACTGTAGTGATTAATTCTGTCTATTTTATCATTGACACATTTTTCTTTTTTAGAGTTTTGTAAAAGAAACTGAGTGATAGATTGTTGTTTATTTTGCTTATCAATTTTCTGCCTCTTACTATTCTGAAACCCTTCCTCATTGTTTTGAAATTTTTCAGTATTTTGTAAAAATATTGATAGCTTTTGTTGTTTGCCTGCAAATTCAGGCCAGTACCTTGTACATAAATCAGGGCATTGTTTATTACTTAATAATGAAAATTTGAATACAGCTGCTATGGGACAATGATCTGAACCTTTAATATCAGAAAGAATTATACTTTCTTTTAAATAAGGTAATAGTCCTTTATCTGTTAAGACATAATCAATACGAGTTCCATAATTGGTTAACCTTGCACTAGTTTTTGAATTCCAACAAGTGTAAGCATTCTTCACTGTTGGATTAAGATGACGAAAGGTATCTATCATATCTTTCTTACTTTTTAAGTCATTCTCAGAAGATAAGATAAATGAATCTAACCACTGTCGAGATGGTTCATTTAGAAATTCCTCTTCGCTTCCAGGATCACAGTGGTCAATAGGTTTGTGTGTTATATTCAAATCACCAACAATCAACACATGATAACAATTTTTCAAAAGCAATTCTGTTTTACAATGTAATAATTGATTAAATTTAAGCTTAAAATCCTTACGATCCAACTTATTTGGATCGGCACGAGGACAATACACATTTATCACAGCTAATTTTTCTTCTCGTTCACTGCATTTTATTAAATGTTCAGTCACTATAGCACGTCCTTCTCCATCTAGAGAAATCATTTCAGAAGGCGTAAATAATTCTGTCTGCAGGCAGAATTTAGTGTTCGGACTGAATATCCCAGAAAGTCCTTCTGCGGCATTAACTGGCTTACAAGAATCTTTACAGTAAGTAGCTACACCAGAGTATCCGGACAGATGACGAGGGAATGCAAAATATGAATTATAACCTTCAATAAATGCTAACGATTCTTCTAATTGATTTCGGGATAACTTCGTTTCTTGTAAACATAAAATATCTGCATCTAAATTTTTTAATATATCTTTTATACTTGATTTTAATGATCTTAGGCCATTTACGTTCCAGCTTACTATCTTCATTTTTAATTTGAAAAACTTAAAAAAACAAACTTTCACGTGTTAAAAAAAGAGCATTTAACCTGCGAAAATTCAAATAATGAAAACGCCCTCTAACGGTGCTAACGTAGTAACCTTTCATTCAAATCTAAACATTTTATAAATTTAAATTAAAACGTTACTTAATATTACCCACCTGAAAATTAGGTAATTTATTAAAATCGATATTTAAAACAGAAATCGGGACATTTTCTAAACCTTTCGATATATCGTCCATCTTTATTCGTTTCGAATGCGATACAGGAAACATTCCTTTAGAAATGGCTTCATAATAAATAATCTTATAAAAATGTATTATTTATTTAAAATATCAAAAAATAAATAATATATTAAAATCTATTATTATTAATTTTAATTAAATAGAAATTACCAAAAAAATATTAATAACTAAATCAGCAAAGAGGTTAAGGTTAAGGAAATATTAAGAGCAAAACGAATGGTCGAATTTTTAGCACGTGATTAACATTAACCAATAAGAAATTTATTTACCTCTTTTTTCGGCCATGATGAGGAAAATGAGTCGTTCGTTGCCGAAGTAATTATTTTTTAAAAAAAACTTTTATTTTTTTCCCCGTTTCTTTTCTCTTCGTTTCAGTGTAAATATTGAACGTAAATTATCGGCCGTGAATTAATATATGTAAGTATTATTGATTTAATAAATAATTTAAAGTGAATTGTAATGTTTAGGTATTTTATTATCGTCTGGCATTTAAACCAAATCCATTTTAATCTTTAAAATAGGTTAAGATAATTTTTAAAAGTAGGTTACTTGTAGAACTTTGACAACTTAAATTTTACTTCCTGAAACTATTTTTAGAAGATTTAAAAAAATTTTTGCAGATTTTAATATAAAACTTTCAAAGATGGAAAGTATCAAATGACTAAACAGCTATGATTGAATTTATCAAATCTGTTTCTGTAATGTGTATGAAGTTAAACTATAAATTAATATAAAGTCTAATTTTACACAATCATGTGATACAATGACTTAAAATTATCACATAGATTACATAATTAATCAGTGTATTTATATCTAAAATCTGTATTTGGTTGTTTTGTCATGATAAGATGTGCTAATAATCAGTACACGATTTACGACGGAGTTATGCTCCAAAAAATGCATCGTAAGTCAAAAATATCACACGTCAGAAATGAAGATTAAATAAATAAAACAAATAGGCTACATGCATGGTTATGCGGTATGTAATGTTGCATATTGTAGCACGAGTTTGACTATCATTAATTGCAATAATCCAAACTTACCAGCAATAGCCTAATATCTAAGCATGGCAGCTATGGCAATCTTAAGTTTCTCGTTGAGACACAATGGGGTGTTTTGTAGACATAATAATCCACGAAAACCTTTCTGTACAAGTGTTATGTTCTTAACTACTCCACAAACGCTTTCAACTTCCCCCGAGGTCTGCTTCAGGTGGTGACTGACGGGAATGGCCTGCTGCACAACGCCAAGGACTCGATGGATCTCAGCAGGGCCCCAGGTGTATACGCCATTCCCATCAGGGACGACAGATTCCACAGGGACTTGATTTACATTGGCTCCACCATCTGCTCAACTCAAAAACGAATACAAGAACATCAAGTTGATATTAAAAATAACAGGCACACCACCGCCTTATCGACCTACATCACAGACCCTGAAATACAAGCGGACTTCCGGAATACCAGACTAATTAGATAAGCGTTCCAAACTGATCACATCCAACACCTGGAGGCCTGGGAGATTCATAAAGCTAACTGTCGGGGCACCTGCATCAACAACAAAGATGGTGAAACGATTGTGCAGGCATGGAGGTATTTGTTCGAGGAATTTGAACAGGGACAGTCGGAGGGGTGAAACCTGACGCGCACGATTATTTACATCTCTGGCGACATTGTTACGTTGGTCAGGAAGAAACACGGTCAGTCACCACCTGAAGCTGGACCTTGGTCAAAAGCGTTTGTGGAGTAGTTAAGAACATAACACTTGTACAGAAAGGTTTTCGTGGATTATTATTACTCAACGAAGTGTTAAGTTGTTGGAAGTCGTTTTGTGTTTTGTAGACATAATGGATATACTGTAAAATGCAAGAAGATATAAGGTGGTATCTAGAAAAAAGTCTCGAGAAAGATTGTTAGTGCATCGGTAGAACAGCTTTGAATTTAAATTCTATCCATTTTCCCGTGCTTCTGCTTCACTCCCATTGACTGTTGTGTGTGTAAAGTATTATTTGTCAAAATATTATTAGTCAAGGAGTGTCTGTATACATTTTAGTTTTTCTCCCCATAATAAAACTGCAGTTAAAATGGGCATCCTGCTTAATTAATTCAGGATCGTAGCCATGTGGGTGTAAATCCAAAAGTAATTTGGTGAGATTTGCAATATTTTGGAGATAGGGATCTCAAATTTCCTAAAGTGATTGATAAATTTTTGATGTGAAAAACATATGGTTATAATTATATATAAAACCAAATCTGAATATAATAATAAACAAGCAGTGTCGCTCAATTTTAATCAAATTATAATATGACTAATCATCAATCAATATCAATATATATTATAAAGGTAAGTGTACAATGTGCATGCCACTAAAACTGAAAAAGAGACCCGGTACGATCAAGGGAGTTATATAGTGTGGTAGTCCTCTATCCCCCATCTATGAAGAAGATTCCCATTTTTACTTGAAGAGCGTGCTATTGAAGATATAAGGACTGGAAGTTTCGCCCTCTAGAAATTTCTAGAACAATCCAGAACATTCGAGCATATTAGAGAGCATTCTACAACATTCTGGGATGTTCTGGAATGTTCGGGAACATCCCAGATCATTGTGGAACATTCCAGAACACTCTTGAATGTTGAGGAATGTTCTGGAACATTGTGGACCATTCGAAGCCTTTTTTGTATGGGTGGGACTACCCATTGGTGGGGGTATATAAAGCAAGATCCATTGTGTGTTCGAATGTCAGTTTCTTATCAGTGATGAAGGGAAGAACTGAAAAAGAAGTGAAAATTCCAAAGTACTGCAGTGAGTAAATAAAAATAAACAGAAAAGCGTGAGTAGTCAAAGTGATACAGTGACTGAATATAAATCGAAAATAGTGTGAAAACTGTGTAAAGTGTACTTAGTGTATTTGTTAATAAAAAGTTGGTTTGATTTATATTTTATACAATGCCCAAACTTAAAAGAGGAGGAGCTCTTGCCAGTTCTGAATTTTCTTTTGAATATTAAAGTTGATATCGTGGACAATATTATTTTTAGTTGCCAAAATTGTCCTTTGAAATAGCCACTCTGAATAATAATAAGAAGCGCAGAGCCCAAACAGTTAGGAGTTGAAGGTTGAAATTTGGTACACAGTTAGGGTATGTCACAAGAATGTACAATAAGAAGGGATTTTTCGAAATTCCCCTGGCGGGGAGAGGTGGTTAACACTTCCCCATGGGGGAAGTGTTAACAATGGAAGTGGTTAAGTAACAATTGAAGTGTTAAGAGAAAGCGACGTGCAAGATTTACAGGCGCATATGCAGTTTTTTGCATTTTTGTGAGAAATCAAACATATTTTTAGACCCATCTAAAAATTTTCTAATTAGTCTGGAAACAGGGGGAACTAATTCTTGCATTCTGAGAAAACGGGTAAGATTGGCTATAATGTAATAATCTTAATCTTCGCTATCATTACTTTTTGCCCGAGGCTTATCTGCTTGTTAATTATAAAAGTGTAATTTGGGACAAAATTTTGAGTAATAAACTACATGATAAGCTGAAGTTGCTGATTCAAGTCTTACTCTTGATTGATCTTTTTCTTGTAATATCTTTATAATTAGCTATGTTCTGGCTGATTAAAGTCTGATGGTATCATATATTTATAAATAGTTAGTTATACAGTGGATGATCGGTTAACGAACATAATATCTGTTCCAAGACTTTGTTCACTATCCAAATTGTTCGTTAACCGATTATTGATTTGCCATAGGTTTTTATGGGAATTTGATTAATTCATTCTGGAAACTCCAAAAAAATAAAAAAATATATACTTTCTTACTATGTTTATTTATATGTAATAATAAAAATACATATATACACAATCTTGCATTTTTATCAGTCACATTTTTTCTATTTGTGAGGTTAAAGAATCTGTCTAATGTCGATTGCTTTTCTCTTTTCTTCAGGATTTTTCAGAAGTAATTAATAGCATTGTAATTGTAGAGATCCCCAAGCCTATTAACCTCAACCTGGTTTGGATGCCATTCTAAGACCGTCGTTCTGACGTCATTCCACTTCAAAAAATGTTTAATAGCAGATATCGACATTAATTTCCTTTTTCAGAAGAAAACATATCTTGCTAAGTTTCTTGGTGTTCTTCATTCAAGAGTTATTGGCGTTCTTCTGTCATCAAATCCGTTTCAGTTCCATTATGAGCTCTTCAATGTTCTTTATTTCTCAGATGTGATTTTTGTTACTCCTGTTACTCCTGTGATTTTTGTTAAGCTACTTGAGTCTTCTTGATAATATAGTATCTTTCTTAGATAAGATTGAACTGTGACCTACTGTAGACCTGTTCAAGCCATACTGCCCAGCAACAACAGACATCAGCCCACTCGCTACCTTTGCTATTATACTTTCACCTTTCAAAAATAAAAACTGATGCAAAACTTAACGAGTACCTGCCCGACAGTCTCGCAAATACTGTAAAAAAAAATTGTTTCTGTCAGAAAAATAAAAGGCTGGAATTACAAGGGAATGTCAAAGTTCAGAGGAGTACTATCTGATCAGTATATACCAGGTTGAGCGTCAATGTCAATGTCTCCTGTGTTCCAAAAAAATTTGAATTGTTGCCTGAAGACAAGGGAAGACTAATCGGTATTCATTATTTTATGTCGCTTCTTCTTGTGTTTGTTCTGTGAGGTGTTCATTGTCTGAACATAAAAATCTTTTGTGAAAGTGTTCATTGTTCAATTTGTTTGCAGTCCAAATTGTTTGTTAACCAATCACCCATTGTATATTGTATGTTCTTTGTTCTGATTAAATTAATATGGCTTGTTTCACTAAATCCATTTGATCTGATATAATAAGGAAGTATATAGTTTTAACCAAATATTTTTATTTTTATAGAAATATTAATTTTAATTCTAGACAGTACAATAGTAAAATAGGTTAAGACATAGAAAAACATTTGTAATTATTAAAAACAATCACTGCTTTCTCATTGCAATCTGCAATGTACTGATGAAACTTTGAATTAAAAAAGAATACATAATAGTAAAATTAATATTAAATGAAGTTCAATATTCATATAAATATTTATTACAGTTTGTTTTTTGAAAGAGGTTACTTTTTGCTTTTTGTATACTAGTGTTGTTAATGAAATAGCTTAATAGCAGATCTATGAAAGATCATCAACAATCATTATTACATAAAAACTTTTTTATTTCTGGACTTAATACTCTGAAGTTGGTTTTGGTTAGTCAGTTTTTCAGATAATTAATTATTTTTCTGTATAGTGACTAGAAAATTACATACATGCTAACTTTAGCTTTAATAAAAAACTCCACCATACCTTTAAAATGCAGTCTATTTTACACCTATCGAACGTTTTCGGTCAGATTCACAGACCTTCTTCAGGATCGAACTATCAGATTTTAAATTTGCAAAACGGCATGGAAAGCGGCAACATTAAAATTATAATAATGAGCATGCGCAATTGAGAAGATTATAGAATGTGCAGTTTGGAATTTCTGTTTTGCAAATTTAAAATCTGATAGTTTGATCCTGAAGAAGGTCTGTGAATCTGACCGAAAATGTTCGATAGGTGTAAAATAGACTGCATTTTAAAGGTATGGTGGAGTCTTTTAAATAGTAATGCAGTTAGAGATATAATGATTTAGCTTTAATGTTAATTTGAAATGAATTTATATTTAAGATGAAAGAAATTGCTGAAAATATCAAGTAATAGTATTTACTTAAGTTCATTAAATTGGCTGATATAAAAGAATATGAATTTATCGAAAGAATACTTGTCTTTAATATCTGTTTGTGTATTGAACTTAAAAAATATGATCTGAAATGATTATTGCAGATCAAGGATAAAGTACAGTCGACCCCCCCATAACATGGTAGATACATTAAACCTTATAAGAATTTCACTTTGTAGGAATCCTTAAATACATGAGCCAATCACAGCCCAGTATGTGTGCTGTTTACAGACTATGGCTGTTTGAAAGGTTTTCTTTTATAAAATTAATCGATTCTAGACTAATTTGACTCGAACATTTCCAAAACACACATAATTTTTTGGGAATAATCCGTATAAACTATGCTATAAACAAAAAATTGTAGGATTACTTACCGAGTATGCACCGTTTGACGTCGCCATTGCTTAAGCTTGTTTTCGTCATGGAGCAGTGCACCAAACGGTGGGTGCATTTTCTGATAAGTTATTTTTCTGCGAAAAATTCACTGAACTTTGGAGACATCATTAATAGAAATAATTTTTATGACCATTGAATAAGAAATATTTTTTTCACAAGAAATGTATAAAATTACAGTACTGTATTAAACTTACAGTACCTAATTTATATACTGTACAGATGATAGTAAACTCAACTTACGCGCCTAAACTCTCTGTATCGTGTAAGTAGTTTGGCTGCTCATCCACTATTGGTCCAGATTCGACCAATCCTGATGACGTTTTACCACATTTTACGAGTCTCTTTTAGTGTCTTTATATGAATACAGTCGCAATTTTTTGCCACGATATACGCATTCGCATTATATGAACCCAAGTTATAGGGGGGTCGACTGTAATATAAATTTAATTTTAAATAAAGAAAATTGAGTCTTTTGACATTAAAGAAGAATATTACAGGCCCAGCATATACTTTTTACAATAATATATTTGACCAAGAAGTATTTCTGTCTAGATTTTCCCTAAGAATTCTGTTTTCTTATTATTTTGGAATATGAAATGTTTACATCTTGAATAATGACAACAACATTTATGTGATAGAACATTTCCAGATGAATGTAACTTGATAAAGAGGTGGAATGATTTTTCTAAACTATCCTGTATATCTTTACCATTAAATACTAACTTTTATAGATTTTTATTATACTAGAATAATCAGATTGCTGTCTTATTTTAAAAGTATGGTCCCCGAAACTTTGAAGAACTTTATGCATGAGAAGGATTTGTTAAATTCTCTCTAGAAGTTGAATGATAAATAGAACAAATTTTTTTCTTCAGTTAAATAAACTTGTTTTTTTGAAGTAACTAGCTATGATTGGTGCCATTTGTGAAAAGAAAAATATATGAATAAGATCAAACTTATATAAAATATTAAGATTAAACTTGAACTGGTCTCATGTTTTAAATTCTAATTAATATAAAAGTTTAATTTTAAAATTTAATATTTGGGAATAATTAAAATATTTATATTTATTTTTTTTTTTCTAAATCAGTTTTAACATTTTCTATTTTCAGTTTTAATATGTATTCTTCAAGTAGTGAAAGATCATCTGGTGATGGAATGGAAGATCTAAATTTATCATTAAATGAATTAAAATCAAAAAGTCAGCAGAGTTCCTTAATGAAAAATGAACATTCTATTAAAAATACTGTCCCCTATGTGGACATACCAATTCCAATAAAACAAAAGGAACCAAAATTTATACCTTATGAACCTTATAAAGCTGCTGTCACACCTATTATACCAGAACAAAAAAATATAAGAGGTGAAAAACATACAAATAAAAAAAACCATGGTGAAGCAAAACTTACTTTAACAGAAACTCATATCCCCTTTCCTCTTACTTATCCAAATATACCTATACATGAAAAGTTACAGAATAATGGAGAAACAGTTCCTCTCCTGAAAGTTTTGAAAGAAGTTAAAATTTGTAAAGATGATGTAGAAGATAGAGAGGAATTATTATGGAAAACTGAAAAAAATGCAATGAAAGAAGAAATTAATAAATTGAAAGAAGAAAAATGTCAATTACAAGATCAATTCAAAATTCAGTTGCAGGTAATTTTGGTTAAATTATTTGTATAAAAATTGAAAATGATGATAAAACTATTTATAATAATTTAGGTCAATGCAGAATTGAAAAAATTGCTTGTAGCATCTTTAGGAGAAGATATGCAAACTCGTGTACAGTTTTTAAGTGAAGACAAGGCAAAACTTGCTCAAGATATAGCACATTATTCACAACTTTTATTGGAAGATCATGAAGAATTAGAACGTCTATCAATTCAATGTGATATTTGGAGGAGTAAATTCTTGGCAATCAGGTTAGATATTAAAAATTGATTTTAAAGATGTAAACTTTCATATAAAGAATAAATCATTATGATATTCATTTACTATAATAAACATTTGATCATATGTATTAAATTAATTTTCATTTGATTTAAGCTTTTGGATAATATGGGAGAAGTGCAGAATTAAGACAATACATTGTTCATAATACAAATTATAAAGTGCTTATATACAGGATGAGTCAAAAGTTCATTGCATCCTTTTCATGCCAAAAGTACTGAAGATATATTAATTTTGTTAATATAGTTACATAGGAAGTCATATACGGATAATTTATGAAGGGCATTTTATATGACTTTGAAAAGTCACATAAAAGGAAATCACTCAAAATTTAAAGTTGCAAATTATGCAATGTTAAATGTATTTGTTTGAATCCAGAAAATGGTTTTAGACTAATAAAATGGTGCTCTTTAACTTTGTGATTGGATTTTATGTTACCTCTGCTTATTAAAAAGTTACAACATAAGTGACCTTGAAAATAATTTTAAAGGTTAATAAAATGTTATCTAATTTTCCACACGAGTTTCTATTTAACAATTAATACATTAACAAAATTAATATATCTTTAGTACTTTTAAAATGAAAAGGGTGCAAGGGACTTTTGACTTTGTATAATATATTTGAATAAAAATATTTCATTATATATATATATGGTTAATTGAAAACTCTAAACTTAATTTGGCTTCAGTTAATATAAACTTGGATAAGATTCAAAAAATGTTTCAACAGATGCTCATATGTTGCATTTTGCATCACGTGATCAGGATTTAAGTTATTCATTTTGAATAACAAAACAGTTTGTTATAATGAAAAAGACAATGGTTGTGGATTTTGAATTTCATCTTCACTTGAAGAGCATAGTATTGCAACAAGATTGAGTAGTAATATTGATGAGTATTATTACAAAAATTTCATATTCTGCATTGTCTGTCTCTGAGTATCTTTTCCTCCAGTTATTCTATTTGCTCTTCTCATTTTGAAATGGAGATATTCAATGTTCAATGTAGGTTTTGACTTTTTCCATTTCCAACTCTGTCCATTCTATTTCTTATCCCCATAATTAGGGATAAAATAGAATGGACCTGAATAGGTCTGCAATTTGAAAATATTGTAGACCTATAAATTCCCACTTTCGTCCGTCTGTTTTTCCTTAATCTTGAGAATGGAGTTAGATAGATGAAATCCGAGACCAAATATGGAAACCTTAGGGACAGGAGGCTCCAATATAAACTTTCCTTCTGATGCAAACCAATGTCACATTATTTCAATTCAAAACTTTCCCCTGAAAGCAGTTAATAGATGACTGGCACAACCTCTATTATTAAAGGAAAAGTGTGATGTAGGGGCAAGACACTACAGTACTCATTTGAGGTGGAGAGCATATATTTTAAATTAAGTAAATTGAAAATATAATTAAAAATTGCAGCCCGGCATTGTGACAATGTCACAATAAATAATTGTTCATTGTTACTGTTAGATAAGTTCCTGTTCAAATGATGTTTTGATTCTGTCAGTTATTATTAATCAGTTGGAGATACGATTCCAATAGTACATAATAAATTTTGAATGAAAATAGCTTTTTATTTAAAATTTATTAAGTACTGTTGGATTATAAATTTTATATACTGTATATACAGGGTGAGTCAGAAGTCTCTTGCGTCCCAATATGGTATTGATATGGTATGGATGAAAAAAGATTAGAAGATATCTGTGTTGTTATCAGCTCTAATTTTAAAAATTGTTTGTTTTTAATTAGATATTTTTTCATTGTTTTTAAATTAGGCAATGAAGTTGCCTACAAAAAGTCAGTCATCAAAAGTTATATTCTGAAACAGTAAAAGTGAATAAATGATAACTGCTGTTTTGACAGACTTTGTCTCCAGTTTTAATTTTAAACTCAGTTGCATCCATTGATAAAATTGAAAAGAATGACCATAGTTGATGATTATCTTTGACTCAGCGTTGAAGATGAAATGGCTCCATTCTTCTGCAGTCCAGTTTTTTTTCATTCTTTGGCCCATTTCCATTGCTGAATTTTGGTTAACCTTGGTTTTGTCTTAATTTTCCTTTGATGATAACCTGTGAAATAAATATGTTTTCTAATTGTTCTGTCAGAGACTTGGGCTCTGCTAATCTTGGATCAGACATCATTTTAGTTGCTTTGAGGTTGCTTGCAAGATACTGCTGCAAATTCAACTTAACATCCTGTCTTGGTCCAGAGGTTAGCCATGGACTCCTACTTCTAGATTGAGTTTTTGGTTTTTTTGTCTTTTTGTCATATACTACCATCATATTTTACATACAGTGGACAGTGAACACTCCATTATCTGGGCAACACAACATTGAGAATATCCATTATTCAGCAATGCAATCATACAATTTTGCATTGCTGAAGAATAGAATGTCATCATGCAGTTCAGCTGCTAGAGCCATTTTAAGTGCGAATATCAGGAACCATTGATGGTAGTTAAGGCATACAAAACAACATGGGATATTTAAGTAGTTTTGCATTAGATACACAATATATAATTTTTATAGGATTTTGTTCTTTTAAGTAGGTTAGTAGAAGATTCCATACTTATTGTCACAGCCTTGTATGATTCATATATTTGTTCTAAGATAAATTTGTTGTACTTTACCTAAGTAAATTTTTATTTTGCATTTAATTGCTGTTTATTTGTTTATAATTTTTATATTGGAACATAGTTTTGTTGTCAGTTGATTTCTGTAATAAGGCATACATGAAAATGCAGTAATGCCACAAGAGAATTGTTAATGTCAGAAAATATGAGTGGTAATTCCAAACCTTTTCTAGCAATAGTATTCCCTTTTTTTATAACTTTAACTTGATTGATATTCAAGGTTTCAAAAAAGCACAGAATAGAAACAAATAGGAAAAAACAAAATAATGTTGGACTTAATATTTTAACTTTTTTAGCATCAGGTCCTTTAAATATAGTGCAATTTAATTTTACCATATAGTATAAAATTTTTAATTTGATATTGTAATTAACATTCTTTATGATATTTTATACATATTCAGGATACTCCTGGGATGAGTATAAGCTACTTTTGAATTCATGTCCATCTGTTTGCATATCACATTAGAACAGGTGAATCCTTCTCGGGTTATAGAATGTGTTTAGAGTAAATTTCAATATAAAATTGTTTTTGGTTGGATCTATTATAAGTGTGTCTTAGGTACATATTCTTTTTCTGTATATACATTTTAATTTATATATATTTTTATGTGAATATATTGCCTTTACTTAATATGTCAGTTTTCTGAGTAAAGTCATATACTGTACCTTGGCTAGTTGAAAAATAAAGGTCATAATGTATCCAGAATTGTTACTCTAGTAATTAATGAGTGATAGTCTTTTTCATATAAAATTTTCACATTAAAAAATAAATAAAATTGAAGAATATACTAAATTAACTCTCTCTTTCCTTTCCTTGTTAATGAGAGTGTATATTTTATCAAATAACTATACTGTAGACTGCCTTTATCATGATATTTTATCAAATCTCCTCTAAGTGATGATTTTTGCCATTTATGCTAATTTTTCCCCAGAAGTCTTACTTTTCCTACTCCTACTATTTAAGCCTTGAATCACAGTAGGAGCATGAAAAAGCACCTTAAGTTTTCTTCAAATTTTTAGTTTACATATAAAAACAAATGTTTATTTGCATTTTTTTATTCTTTTATTTTACATATTTACAGTGTGTATACAGTCTTGTCTTAAGAACTACTCACAAAACATTGACTTTGAAAAAAGTTTCTTGGAAGAAGTTCAGGAAATGATTGATTTAATGTTCAGAATACAATTTCATGAAATAATCTTCTATTGAAGACATCATTTATTTGCTTATCTGACAGATATAGCTAAATTATGACTTCATATTTCAACTACAATATCCTGAGCCAAAATTGAATAATTAATGAATTTTACAGAGTTCAGAGTAACTCTTCCAACTTCTTCAAAGTTAATGAATTCCTTTGAATGTCATTAAACTAGTTCTTCATAACTAGATCATTCTATGAATCAATTTTAATTCTAGGGTTAGACTAATTCCACTAATTTGAATTGAAGCACATAAAGATAAATTCTCCATTATTCATACACAAGCCTAGGATTTCACAGCATTCTATAACAAACTCTCTAATTCATTCTCCTCATCTAAATTGTTTTTGTGCCTGCATTTCAAAGTTCAAATCATGTATTAACAAATCTGCATTTACAAATCTGCAACTTTTAACTAAATGTAATTTATTGGTAATAATAGTAATATATTTAAATTCCACAAATTGTTAACATTTTATTATTTTCAGTTTAATGGTTGATGAACTCGCAAGCTGGAAAGCTACATTATCACATAAATATGAAGAATCTCTAAATGCAATTCAATGGATGTTAACTGAACAAGAAGAATTGCATCATCAAGTATCAACTGTGTATAAGTAAGTAGAAAAATATCATAAAAAATGAGATTGAAGGAGGTAATTAATAATACAAATATAATCCAACAGTCAACTCCAACAACTTCAGCAAACATTTGATCCATCAACACAGAAAAAATCACAAAAGATCATGAATATTCTACAGATTGCCCAGGCAGCACGGCAACTTTCTGAATTATTATATGTTCGATTGCTTGGTAGTTCAAAGGCTAAATCAAGCATGGTAGGAGAAACTGGAAAGAAGAATTTATCTCCTGCAGAAGCTTTTGCACAAAAAGTATGTAGTCTTTTTATTTTTCCCTGTTTATAAAATAATTAAAATAAATAATTTAAAACTGTACAATATTGTAATTAACATTGTTGCTGAATTTTCATTGTCAAATCTGTTTTAACAAAAAACAAAATAATCTTTTTTGGTTAAAATAATGCATAACAAGTCTGGACTCTAGTGTGTTCCAGAAGGCCACTATATTGAATACATGCCACATTGTTAGGAAATTCCTGAATACAGACACTGACACACTTCTTTAATTTTAGTTTTGTTTTGGTTGCTATGCCTTGACTCTGGTCCGGCATAGTACACAGCCACTAGTGTGAACCGAGTATAACTCACAAAACCCAACATAATAATAATAATATTTCTTGGAATTCAAGTATACTATATCATTGATGATAAATCAACACTAATTAAAAATAATTAGTGTTGTCTCCCCTACCGTATGATACGACTACCTCATACCTTTGTCGAGGGAAGTAGTGGCTTATGTAAATTCAAAAGCAGCTTGAAAATTAATTTTTAGAAAATTTACAAATGTATTACGTTGTTGATAGTAGATGATGTCATGGAAGAACAAACCTATCTTAAGATAAACTATTATGAAGGCAAATATATGTAAATTCTATAGGCACTTCGCATTGCTTGATAAAAAATTGAATAATTAAATAATTTCTGAATTAAAATCGTCTGTTTCTTTACAATATTATTCATAAATGCTTAAATAATCATTATTTTAATAAAATTTGTCATAATTTTAACCCCAAACACAAAAAAATGAAGTTTAAACCAATCTTCTGCTCGCCATGCTAGACGTAGCGAATGCCATTATCAACCATCTAGAATTGCCAGATGGTGGCACTCAACCGTCTGCCATTCATGTTTTGGGCTGAATACGACAGCTGCAATCTCTCTAATAATTTAAGGTTTATTACTTTAAGTTTAGTTTGAATTTGGCTTAGGCTTAAATTAAAATTTAGACTGTTATCTAACATATTAAATTTCAACATGGATTTTTGAAATTTTTAATTTTAATGTTTAGTGTATAATTTATTTTTTGATTATAAATAAATTCTTACAAGAATTCATTTATAATCAAAAAATAAATTTCTTTTTCTTATGAGTGTTTTCTTTATCACATAATTTGTTACTAATATCCACAAATTTGGCAGATACTGCTAGTTGTTAGTGTAGGTCTACAATTTTTAGTTTTTTCATTGGCAAAATGCCTTATAATATCAGTTCAGATAGATATTATGCAGTGTTTAGTTGCCATAATAGCCAAAGAGTTCTTTATAAGTGGTTTGAAGCTGCATGCGATGTACAGTACATGAAAACATGATGCATTAAGATTGTCCATCTATTCAGTACAATTGCAGATGTGAATAATGCTGTTGGGACCTTAACAGAGCTGTTGAGTATGTCCATAAGAGTAAAATGTCAAAGGAACCATACCTCTAAATGCAACCTTTTGTGAGATATTGCCCCCTGAAATCAACTGCACACTCAGCATGCTAAGACTATCACATTTAACTATTTAGCCCTTGTGACTATGCAGACTGAGTAGCCCACTTAACTGTTTGTGGAGTACTTGATGTTATATAGTTTTAGGGGGTGTGTGGCTTGCCCCCATCTGGGCACCAAGGTACGAGTGACAGCTAGCACTGAAGTGCATGATGACATGGAGCATGGAGAATAGGTAGTAGTACTGGTACACAGTAAAAACTGTTTTTGGTCAGTAGAAGTTAATACATTTGTTATTCGTTATAGGCACCGATTGCTGTGCCTATAACATAACTTGCTTGCAAACATGACGTCCACAAGCAAGATGGTGACCAGAACTGGTGCCATTGGGTTCCACATTTAAAGGTGAATATCTTGCAAAAGGTTGGGTGTCAGACTTTTCTTATTATTTGCCAATAAATATTGTTAGAATGTCTGATCACCTTACTGTACTGATTGTTAAACACACAATAGGATTAGCGGATCATGCAGCGTCACTCCCTATAGTGCCCAGAAGTAGGTTTTAGGCTGATTTTGAAGGGCTATATCTCACAAAGGGTCACATTTAGAGGTATGGTTTCTTTGACTTTTTTCTCCTATGGACATGCTCTACAGCTGTTAAGGTCCCAACAGCATGCATCATTCACATCTGCAAACTTGCCATGTATTCAACCGTTCTAGCTAATTTTCATGTGATGAAAATTTAAGAGAATGGGTAACCAACCATGCATGTACTGTACTGTACTGTACTGTACATGCAGCTAGGTAAATAACTCTGCCATCATTAAATGCACAAGTCCATACAGAATGATTACTTGCAGATAAAGTTTGTGATGGCTCTACATTTGTCCTAAGGACACAAATGTTTTATGACAATTTATTATTAAAATTTATTAATTAATTTCACTTACATGACTCTTATAATTATTTTTCAAGTGGTAAAGACTCCTATAATTAAACATTTCTTGGTAATCATGGGGTTTACTTTTAATAAGATATTCCAAAGGTGGCCATTCTCTAACATCATTATTCCATGATTTTATAATACTAATTGGTGAAAATGACATATTTTCAGATAAACAATGTAGAAGAAACTGTGCAAAAATCTGAAAATTTTGCACTAGACTTAATTCTATTCTGTGAATAATTTTGACTGAATTAAGTGGCAATATAAATATTTCCTGATAGATAATAACAATGACTTATTACTTATGTAATTTTAATAAGTCAATTTCTAATTTCCCTTTCTTAATTTTACTTTAAATTTTTATCAGTTTTAAAAGATATTTCCCCTTGATGCATGTAGCACACTTTTTCTTTACATTAGAAAAAATTTAAACTTGTGTAAAAACAATTGAAAATACTCTGTTTGTTAGTAATTGTAATTTTTTAAAATATAAAAACTTACAAAGTGGGCTTACGAATGATTTTGAAATGACTAAAAGAAATTCGATTATATTTGCAGTTCCAAAGTTTTTGCAGTATCTTAATGGTGGTGCCACAGTACAGGAAAATACACAAATCTTCTTTGGAAACTTGTGGATATGATATACTTGTTAGATTTATCAATTCTTTTCTAATTTGAACCATATGTCATGGTCTATTGAATCAAAAACTTTTTTTAAATCTATGAAACCTGCATACAGTTTTTTCCGTTTTCTTAATAGTGTTTATTTTAAATGAAATTGTTCAATTAGCAAGTTATATTCGACACCTCTATTCCTGATGTAATCTCCTTGATAAGAAGTGATAATATTGTTCACTTCTAACCATAGTTGAAGACAGTTTCCTTAACATGTTAATTAAAGCTATTGGACAATAATTGGTTGGTAATAATCGGCTTCCTTTTTTATATAGCATTTTAAAACAGATTTGTTTCCAAGTAGTAGGAAATTTGCCCTAAGATTTAAAAGAATTAAACATACAGTTGATCCCTCTATAACATGGGTTCCTATAGTTCGGATTCCTATATTACGGTGAAAAAATTGCGACAGTATTTGTACAAACATGCTAAAAAAACTTGTATAATTCGGTAAAACGTCACTGCCGACTCATTGTGACAGGATTGGTCGAATCTAGATCAATAGCGGATATTGTACAAACCGTTGAGTTTAAACGAGCAGCAGACCTACTAAAAACCAATTATTATTTAATGTCCATAAAAATTATATTTATATTAATATGATGTCTCCAAAGTTCAGCGAATTTTTCACAAAAAAAATAATTTATCAGGAAGCATGCAAGCGCCATTCGATGACAACTCCATGACAAAAACAAGCTTAAGCAATGGCTTAGTCAAACGGTGCACACTCGGTAAGTAATCCTACAATTATTTGTTTATAGCATAGTTTATATGGATTATTCCCAAAAAATTATACGTATTTTGGAAATGTTGAGTCAAATTAGTCTAGAATCGATTAATTTTATGGAAGAAACCTTTCAAACAGCTGTAGTCTATAAACTGCCGGGCTGTGATTGGCTAGACTCGTAGAAAATGGATTCTTAAAATCCAGAACGTATCTACCGTGTTATAGGGGGGTCAACTGTATTTAAAATGTCATTTAATATTTCACTTGGAAGACATTTAATCATTTCATTTCTGATTTTATCCAAGCCAGGTGATTTACGAATTTTTTATTTTCTTACTGCATATTCTAGTTCTGAGTGAGATATTGGATCGTCTAGAAGAGAGATATTTCTGATTGAAAAATTGTTTAATAGAATAACTGTATGAGGCCTGAGAAATGCAGTTTCAAAAAATAAAACCAAATCTCATTTGAGATTACATTTACAGTATGCCTCTTTATTCTGAACTTGTTTTACCAATGACCAAAATTTTTTTGTATTTTTCGTATGTTGTAACTAGCTTAAATTTGGCTTGAAATAACTTCTTAGCTTTACACAATGACTTATAACTTTTGTTTTGTTTGCAGTACTCTTAAATCAAATCAAGAGATCTGCTAGATTTCTGCAGAATTTTCTTAACAAACTATTCTTTTTCCATTTTAACCTCAAACAGTCCAAATCAAACCATCAAAATTTAATGAATTGGTCGTTCCTAACATTCCACTTTGGGTTGCTGAAGTCAATAGCATTTGTAAGAATTCTGAGTAAAAGTCCCACATATCCAATAAAAACCTCTTCTTCAATAAATTGTATAATGAAAATATTGCAGAAATAGGAAAATGGTCTGAACTGAATTTGTCCAAGATTTTGAAGTCTTTCAAGTTGTCCAACAGATTAACATTTAATGCTACCAAGTCTATTACTGACATACCATTCAAAGAAATAAAAGTGAAATTTGCCAGATAGTCATTTATGCAATGGCCATTTAATATATGTAAACCATATGATTTAATCAATTGTAGATAATTTTTTCCTCTGAGGTTACAGACAATGTCATTAGATTTACGAGAGTTTATTATTATGGTCCTAACATTCATGTATTAAAGGTTACCTAATTCCTCTCCTATTCTTGCATTAGTGTCACCTATTATGAGTATTTCATTATTGAGAGAAGACTGTATTAAATTTTCTAACTCAGTTAATAATTTGTTGTAATGAGGAATATTTAAATAAACAAGTATAATAACCAAGTTTTGTTTCAGTAAACTTTTAGAATTAAGCTTAACTGCTATAAAGTTGTCAGATTTCCTGGTTGTCCTAGAGCAGTGGTCCCCAACCCCCGGGCCGGTACCGGTACTGGTACTGGTCCGTGGATCAAATGGTACCGGGCCGCCCAAGGAACATTAAATTACTGGTATTTCCATTTTATTTACTATGGTGTATTTCTCTCGGATTTGTGCAACTTTTAATGGACAATGGAACAACGGAATAAACTGGACATAAGAAACACACTTCGGGTGTCATTGTCTTCTGTTACCCTCAGATGGAACTGTCTTGTTGCAAAGAAACAAGCTCAGGGTTCTCATTGATTTAACGTTCTAGTGAGTTAAAATGTTACACCAAAAAATGAATATAATGTGATTTAACTATATTTTATTTTGAAGGCATGTTTAAATACAATTAAATTAAAATTATTAAATTAAATCAATCTAAAATATAAACAATCAACGTCCCCCTTCAGTGGGCCGCGGTAAAATATCAAACGTTGACCGGTCCGCGGCGATAAAAAGGTTAGGGACCGCTGACCTAGATGACCTATTCTATTGGATATTGGAGGTGTATGTGAATAGAATCGAACAAGCAAAATAAAAAAAAGGTCGAAAGGTTGTGCACGGTATCACCAGGTAAAATTAATAGTTCATTCGGATGGTGAGTCGATTCTCGGACCATCCGGATGGTAACACTATTCCCCGTGCTCATTTCAATCTGTCCGAATCGTAGTAGCGACGATAATACGAAGTAAAATGGTTCAAATTTTTACAAGATGATATTATTTATTGTGAAATTTTGTCGCCCCCACTACGCTACGCCATTATTTAGCCTATGGTAGAATTAGTTTCGTTAAAACATCGTTTCACTAGGTTCTTGGAAACTGCGGCATTCAAGTAAGGACATATTGAAATGTTACACAGTAAATATTCCTGTTTAAGACATTTTCCGCATCTAATAGTCATATTCTATGTTTAACTCGAGATGCTGAATACGATTTTAATCGCGAGTTCAGTTAATGCGAAGTGAATATCGATTTCAAGTCTGAAATCACGATTTAACTGGTGGCCATCGGCGCAATATAAATCACCATGCATTAATTAACATATAATTCAAGTTAATTCTCGAATTACAGCTTAACATTTGTTCTATTTGAATTCTTCGGAAAATGTACTTTCGATTTTTATAACAATTCGTGCCCATCTATATTAAAGGCCAATTTTTAGCAGCGATTCGCTATTGTTTTAGTGACCGCTTTTGCCATTAGAATTGATCGTGCAATCCGTCCGGTTATCGGTTGGAGAAATAACTTCGGTGCACGTAGAAAATTTTAGCATTTGTTAGTGGAATAATAAACTGATTAGATAGAAGTTTAATTATTTCTGTGGCTATTATCTATAACTTACTGGTGTGTGTATATACATACAACTTTTACTGGTATGTAAGTTATATACTGTATATAAAATTCGTGCCATGGGCATTAAAAGGTCCTTTCTAGCAAGCTCGCAATGAGGCACCGGGTAATTTTCTTAATTAAACTTCCCCTGTGGGCACTAAGATGGTCCACAGGGAAAGTTTAAAAAAATTACCCGGCGACTCACTATGGATTCGGCCAGGCCAACAATGGGGCGAGTGGGTGATGAGGGAGGGACCAACATTTCCGGATATAAAAATTTTCGTGATTTTTCGACCCTTCCGATACGATCTGGATCCCCACAGTGCTACGTTGCCATGTTAACCATTCGGCCAAATTTTTATTGGTGAAAAATGACTTATTTCAGGTTTACGGATTTTTCTTATTCTTACCGAACATGATTGATAGGAATAGTTTTCTGTTCTTAAAGCTTCCTGTCCTAACAATTGTAATTCTTAAACCACACAGTTTGATACATTCTTGTATGATAAATCCTAAATTTATCTAAAAGAATGCGGTAAAATTAATTACATAGAATTGTTATTTCAGAAGGCATTTCGGGTCAAGATCCCTCTTCAGCCACTGACAATCTTTGAAAACACTGGTCCTAGGTAATATCACAAGGAAAATAAATAATTTTTAGTGTATTAACACCCGAGAAAGTAATATAGGATGTCATGAGTATTAAACGTAGGATTTAGGGGAAAAAACGAATTTATCTTAGAGGTTGCCGCAAATATAATTATACATTTACAAACAAATCTGTATATAAATACTGCAATTAAAACTGTTTAAAAAAATACAAATGAANTGTCTCGCCTTTCTGTGAAATCTGACGCTGATGAGTCATTGTTTACACAGCTGGAGTTGGATTTCCCGAGACATTCTCAGAAGTCTCGGGAGGCGATGGGTTTATAGTAGGGTGAATACTAGCTGGCCGTATATTTTTAAATATTTTTTAAAAAATTAAATTTTTATTGCGATTTCCGACCCCCCCACTTAATTAAACTTATATATAATAAAATATATTAATTAAAAAAATTTAAAAACTATTGGAGGTCGTTTTTGACATCAGAAACTAGCTTTAAATAATTTTACCAAAGTCAAATCCGTGCACTACAACTTTAGAATGATGAATTAAATTTGATATCAAAATCCCATTAAAAAATAATTAAGCGTTAATCGTGCGTCATTAAAGGTTGATTAAAATCGCAATAAAATTTTTTCACGCGGGTAAACATTTTTGAAAAAATTTGGAGACCTAAAAAACATTCCAAAAATTAAAAAAATTGTAAAATGGCCTTAAGGACAGAGTTTTTCGTAACAATATGTAACTGGCCCGAGATATCTCGGGCTTGAGGCTTAAGGGAGTTTTAATTAATTAATTAAATTAAATCAAATGGTGGACCTACAAAGTATTGAAACATCACAAATCGTTTTTTATGCTCTAAAAATTTTAGAAAATGTTTCAATTGATGTTGTAAACAACATATTAATTTTACTTAAAAAATTACTATTGTTAATGTATTTATTATATTAGTAAGAAGTTTTACATGGCCATATTTAATAATAATACAATAAATATAAGTACAACTTAGCAATGTTAGTTAATTAGTAATGTTTTTGTTATTGAAAAAAGTTGGGTGTTTATAATTATGAAAAGGACTATGTACTTTTCATAATTATGTACTGTATAATTGCCACTAAGAAGGTTTTTGTTGAACTTTTTTTCGTCCAGTGAGAGGTCATGCTGATATTTAAAAAGATATTAAAATAGAAAATGCTTGAATGCAATAAAGAGCACTCACAGAGAAATTTTGATATTGAAAGTCTTTGTGAATGTATTTTGAATTACACATGTCAGGTGTTTTTGTATTGTGTAAAATATTTTGTATAACTTTTCTGGCTGTCAAGAAATTTTATTATAGAAACTTAGTTTATATTATTAATCACCCTCAAAATTTTGCCATTTTATGAGATGGGTTTTATAAAAACAGATTGTAAGTGCTAATAATGATTAAAATATCAAGTCCAAGCCACTAGAAATATGACAAGTGACCCCCTTGACCTTTGATGCTATTAAATTTTGGTGGTTAATGCCCCTTATCCAGAAGCTACCATGCCAAATTTCATTTGAGATATTAAAATAAACACCAACACATGCACAAGGAATATCTCCATTTTCCTTACTTTTTTGGGCTCAAGGTCTCAAAACATCAAGAGAGTCAAATTTGACAATTTCAACACTTTCCTGTATTATGTACTGTACATAACAGGAAAACAATTAACAACAATATTTACCACATTAAAAAAGACAGGTTATATTGCTTATTACAAGTTTTCATACAAATGCTCCAAACTGCACACATTATTTTGTTTACTCCTATGGACAATTTGTGATTTAACAGAGTACAAAGTACAGTGGTACCTCGGTATACGTCTGCTTGGACGAAACAAATTTTGCTCGGTATACGACTTAATTCAATTATACGCGCCATCTATAAACAAGTAGCACTATCGGTGTACTAGACCAGACTAGACATTCACGGTGCCATGGTTTATTACTTTGTTAAATTTCTTCTGATTCTAATTTGTAAGTAAAATTTATTATTTTTATTAATCATGAATTGCAAAAAGGCAAATAAAAAGCAACAGAAAACTAAACAAAAAAAAAATGACTAGAATTACAATGGAACTGAAAAAAGAGATTGTTGAGAAATATGAATGTGGCATGCGTGTTCGAGATTTAACTGTTGCGTACCATATTCTGAGAACGAAGGTATCGACAATCGTGAAAAATAAAGACATTATCAGATTTAATAACGTTGGGAAAGGAGTTAAATCAATTTCTAAACAGAGATCAAAGACATTAGATCATGTTGAGAAATTGCTTTTGCTTTGGGTAACTGGAAAACAGTGTGCTAGAGACAGCGTATCAGAAGCAATTATTTGTGAGAAAGCTAAAAAGATACACGCTGATCTCATGAAAAATCAAGCAGGAACTAGCCAGGAAAGTGAGGTGTAAAAAGCCAGCCATTTTTTTTTTACGTGAGAACGAATTAATCATTTTTACATTACTTCTTATGGGAAAGGTTGGTTTGGTATATGTCCTATTCGGTATAAGTCCAAACATCGGGAACGGATTAAGGTCATATACCGAGGTTCCACTGTATCTAAAAGATGAATTTATAATATCTTTTCACTTATAATATTCTTTTTCAAGGTTTTAACCGGCAAAGATCTTAACAGAATTCATGGAGGATCAGAAAACGAACTATCGAAGGATGGACAGACTCCATTATATTTTTCGAACAAACTCTACCACCATTATCCCTGCGGCCAGAATAAATTTTCAAATTCTGCCTGGTGCCGTCACTGTTCTGGAGAAATTAAAATTTTGTAAGATTTAATAAATCGATTATTTTAATCTGCCAACACGTTGTGTAAATACTATATAGATAAATTATGTTTCTATGAAATGGTGTAAATTCGACTTATGTTATTTGAATTAATACAATACTAAAATTTAAATTCAAGTAATTCCTCAAAAATTGTATAATATTTTTTATAATGAATAAAAATATGAAAATGAAATGTTGCTTATTAAAGGTTTATTATATTCTGGGTTTATGTACAACCATATTTTCCACATTCTTGTATGTTTAAATTGAATATAACTAATTTTTTAAGATGTGAACACACATTTCCACAATATAAAATTTATCATCGTTCTAGAACTTAATTTTATAACTTACCTGAATTTTTAAAATGCCATTTCTGTCTTACTTAGAAAATGGGTTTTAAGAAACTTTTTGGAATAATAATAATAATTTTTTTTATACAGATGATAAATTTTATATCATCGTTGATAAGAGACAATTGAAAATCTCGACACAATTAAAAATAATCCAATGTCAAATTATAAGTGATGGTTTCATCACGAACGATATAAACAAACAGCACGGAAGAGGAATTGTTTTAACAATATACACTCTCCTCTTTGTGTCCGGAAAGCTACGGATTTATTTTTAAAGTCCAGAGATGTCTCATGCTTGCTTCGAAGCCTTTAGAGATATGTACAATGGATATTGGAAATTTGGATCATCAATTTTTTCAGAAATCATGTCACCTGCTTCAGAGCAAATGATAACTTAGGTCTGACTTTTCCTTTATTTAGAATTATTTGCTGTTCTTGTTTAACTTTCTTTTCTCGCTCTTTCTGCAATCTTTGCCTCTCTTCGTCTATTTTACGCTGTTCCTCTATCATTGCAAGTCTCTCTTCGGCCTGTAAAAAATTACAAATTTCTCAGATATATTTAATGATTAGATAAATTCAAATGTCTAAGTAATAAATATTACAAAAGAAGAATATCCACTTCAAATTAAAATTTAGTGATGTAGATAATTACGGATTCTTAATAATAATAATTCAATTTAAACTGTTTAAGTTTTGGTAATTATTCATCAATTCTTTTTTGCAGTTACAATTATTTCTGAGAATTCCAAAGATTATAATTTAACAACATTTGATATTCTAGCACATAATAACGAAAGGATTCTGCATACCCTTAGTTAAGAACTGTGGCTGAAATTTTAATAACTGATCAAATGAGTAAAATGGCTATTAACCACTCAAAATGAGTATTTTTTGTTCAGATAATTATCCACAAAGTCTTTTTGGCTTTGATGCTGAGGGATTTTAGATAAAAATATGTGATTCACTTTGTACATACTAGAATTTTTTGATTTTACATGAGTAGGGATGGAGGCAAATTTACCATTATGGAGCTCTTAACGTATGTGCTTAAACTGTTGGAATAACAATTAATACATTTTATTTTCATGTCCCTCACATATACAGATAAGTATGTATTAATTGTTGGTACTCCAATATTTTTAAATAAATACTTTGTGTGTATGAGGGCAAGTGTACTATTATACACATAATCAAAAAATTCTCTTATGATGAATCATACATTCTTTTTATCTAAAGTTTCTCAATGTCAAAACAAAAAAGGACTGATTTGGATAATTACCCAAATAATAATAATACTCATTTCAAGGAGACCCCTAAACAATAGCCATTTTCAAGCTTTGTGCCCATTGAGACTTGTTCTAGACTTACTGATTGACATAATAAAATTTTGGCCAACTTCACCAAGAGCTAAAACCCATAAGGATTTGCAATGTCCTTTAATGAAAAAATTTAACACTCCTGAGTAAATAATTATGGAAATTTATCAGTTTATTAAAAAATGTAGTGATTTATTGAGAGATTTTTAGTAATCTAAGCAAATAATTGATAAAATAAAATTTTGTTACAACACAAAAACAGTTTAGATAAATTACAGTAGCCTCCTTATCTCCAGGGATACATTCCAATACCTCTAGTGGATGTCTAAAATTGTGGATAGTATCAAATCCCATATACAGAGTATAATGTTACGTCAAATCCATGAAAGTTTCTCATTTGGTGGAATAGGAAAAATTTTCCATATTACGTGAACTTGACAGATGGTATGCTAATTTCGTGAATTTGACAATATTACTGCTAAATTCACAAAATTGGCAATTTATCAACCGACACTAGTGCTGTATTGTGATAAATTTATGAACTTTTTATTCTCTGTCCTGGGCATAAAGAGGGCAAAAATGAGTACGAAATAAAAGTCTTATTTCGTACTCATTGTTTGGCTGGATCCACAATAGGGCGGTTGGATGGTGAAGGAGGCCCGATGTATCCGAGACAGACTGACTGAAAATTCCTGGTGAGTTACTTACACAGATTAAATCCCAAGTCTCCAGAGTGATCGTTTGACACCTTGCAATAGTGACCAATCACTTTGATCGCTATCACAAGGTATTGGAACTTTCTTTTTTTTTTTTTTTTTTTCTGTTTTCATTTGCCATTGTTTTGGAGTTTATAATTTTGACAGTTAAAACATTAAATAACAATTATTATTGCATCTTATGTTATAAACTTTAGTTTTGAAAATTAATTTAAATTAAAAAGCAATAAAATCAATTAAAAACCATTTATAACTATTTGATAATTGTTTAACCACTTTTTCCACTTTCTTGCTGATGAAACCAGAAATAAGTACAGTGTCATTACTATTTGTTGTATGTATTCAATTAATTTTTTTATTCCTAGAATGTATAAATTAATTTTATATAAATAAATATAATTATTGGGTTGTTCGGAAAGTAATTTCGTTTTTTTTACCACTTATGAATTAGTTGTATTTTTCCCGCCATTTTTATTCTAAACCGTATTATCATTATATATTTTGACAGCTAGCATTTTAAGGCTTATTTATAAAAAATTTTGTTTGGTTTTGTGCAATTGTTCAATTTTTGTGTCTCATTAAATATGGAAGATCGAAAGCAGCATTTTCAACATATTTTGCTTTTTTATTACCAAAAAAATAAAAATGCCGTTCAAGCAAGAAAAATATCATGTGACATGTATGGTAGAGATCTGTTGACAGAATGACAGTGCCAAAACTGGTTTACAAAATTTTGTTCTCGCAATTTCAGTATTGAAAATGCACCACGTTATGGATGGCCAATTGAAGCCAATGAAAACAAAATAAAAGGTACTGATTGAAGCAAACTGCCGAATAACAACACGTGAAATCACTAAGAGATTAAATTTGTCAAATTGAACTGTTTATGATTACTTCAAACAAATTGGTTTCGTTTCAAAGCTCGATATATGAATTCCACGAGTTCTTAAAGAGAAATGCTCTATTTGGTGGGATATTAAGGAAATTTTTTTTTGGAGCTTTTACCAGACAATTTAACAATTGATTCGAAAGTGTACTGCATTTGAGTAAACAAATTGCGTAATATCATCAAACAGAAAAAGCCAGCTGGAATTGATAAAAAAAACAGCTGTAGTGTTTTACCACAATAATGTCAAATTTCACACAAGTTTGGTAACTTGTCAGAAACTGTTATAACTTAGATGGGACCTGCTATCACACCGACCATATTCACCAGACTGAGCACACTCAGATTATTACTTGTTCTGGTCTATACAAATTTTTTTTAACTGTAAGACATTTACTTGAAATAACAATGTCAAAAATCACTTGGATCGGTTTTTTGTAAGCAACGATCAAAACTTTTATGAATGTGAAATCGTGCTATTACCAGAAACAATGACAACAAATATTTCAACAAAATGGTTGATAAATAATTCAACAAAATACTTATTTATTTATAAAAATATTGCTGTTTTTTCCACTGAAAAAAAAAAGAAATTACTTTCCGAACAACCCAATACTTAATCAGATTTTATACTTTCTAATCTTCAAGTAAGAAGACAATACTAAAGTAAATCTTTACCTAACATTTTAAAGCTATTATTCAATGAGTGAAACAAATGTTGTATCTTATTGGAAAATATATCAATAGTATGCCAACTTCATGAAACAGGCTAATTTTGAATTGCCTATTTCACAAATTATGTAAATTCTCACCTGTTTCACAAAATGAGCAACATTTCTATATTCAGCATAATAGACGCATATCTATGATAGTTTAATTTACTGTATTTTTGTGGATTGTCTGGCATGTTGGTCTATCCGGGGGAGACCATGAAATCATATTTGCATATGGTAAAAGCCAGCATGTCAGTTTAAGTGAGGTTACACATTCCTCTCTAGAGGATGCTTTAAAAAACAAATGAGTTTTATACTAAAAGAGTGAAACTGTTGGCATTACATCAAAAACTACAATTATATATTTAATTTCTTCATTTTGTCTTCTTTATAATGATGTAAAATACTTATGGAATGCCAAAGTGTATTTAGACATGATTTCTTTCTATACTGTGCTTGTAAAAGTAATAAGTTTTGTTTTATTTGTCAAAAATTTGTGATGGAGCAGGGCAGTAATTGTAAACTTGGTAAAACAGCCATGGAAACTTACAATGCCACAAAAATTACATAGGAAGACTAATGTTTATCTCATTCAAAGGTGTTTGAGTAGATTTCAAGAAGGGAGGCAATAGCTTGAAAATGGAAGGGCAGAATGTCCTGCCAAAAGTTTGTTGGATGTGAACATTGGAAAGATTCATCGCCTCCTGCTCCCTGCCAGCACCACTGTAACTTCCCACTTCTATCTGGGTATGTTGAAACATCTTTGCAACAGGATTACTACATACACCCGCAAAAGATGGAAAGCAAAAAATTTTTTTCTGCTGCAATGTGCCAGCCCATTTGGCTGGAATTGTGCAGTAGTTTTTAGCTTGAAAACAAGTCTCCCTGCTCATTTGCCCACTGTATTCAGCAGGTTTTGTGCCATGTGACTTTTTCTTCTTTTCACAGCTCAAGATGAACATGATGAGTAAACAGTATGATGCAAAAATAGAATAGGATTACAAAGGAAGAATTTTTAAAGAGCTTTCAGTGAATGTTGTCAACAGTACACCGAGACATAGACAACTATGTAGATCATCATAAAGATTAAAAATCTTTCTATTTACTTTTGGTTTTTTTGAAACAATAGTCCTGGATCTTTCTGCCAGATAGTATAGCAAATGGTATGCAGAATATGTCCACACTATAGTGTACCATATGTTTAAAATTATCCTTTAAGTTTTAAGTTAAGTTACATGGCAAAACAGACTGTTCACTAGCTTTTTCAACTGCAATTTAATCAAATTTGTCATAACAGTTTAAGAAATGATTTACAAATTAAGCATTTTTAATATATTTTTACTATATTATTTTAATTGAAGTTCTGTTTTTTGATTAAAGTGTTCAGCATCGTAATTAATTGTTTAAATTTCATTAGTTCTCAATGCACTTAATCCAGTATAACTTTAGTTAGACAGCTTCAGATTTCAGTAAATAGTAATTTCCAAAAAGTGAAAAATCCTAATATATAAATCTTACCAATTTTTTCTGTGCCTCTTCAATTTTTCTGTTATTTTCCTCAAGTATTTTTTCCAGTTCGATTCTCTTCTTTCTTTCNAAATTAAAATTATTAAATTAAATCAATCTAAAATATAGACAATCAACGTCCCCCCTCAGTGGGCTGTGGTAAAATATCAAACGTTGACTGGTCCGTGGTGATAAAAAGGTTAGGGACCGCTGTCCTAGAGCACGAGAAATTGCTAGGATTAGACCTTGCCTCCTGATGGTCGACCTGGACCTAATGGTTTCCTTGATGGTTGCTCTAGTATAAATAAATTTAATTTAAAAATGGGATCTTGTTTTTTTTTAGAAAAAAGTCAGCCAGGTTTCAACTATAGTAATAATGTCGTAAGTTTGCAGAATCTGAACAAATTTGTGATCTTTGAGTCATATTTATTGTTCCTTGGCACTTCCAAGAGAAAATTTCCAGTGTAGAATTATTAACAAATATATCTTCTTTTTGTACTTTTATTAAACTTTCTGAGTGTTGTTTCTGTTTTAAAAAAATCTATCTTCTGGAACTCATTAGTTTCCAAGTTATAGGTAAATTTTTCACCATCCATTATTAAACAGTCACCTCTTAAATAGGCATTTTTAATTCAAAGATTTTGCCTTCATAAAATGAGGCAAAAGTTTTTTACATCTTATCTTAGATCTATAAGTTAAATTGTCAAAAACTCTGACTCTAGTATAATTTTGATTTTCTTGAATGCTTTAAATTTTTAAAAATTAATCTTTTATCATTCAGATCACTTAGTTCCACTAATATCAAACTAGTTTTTGGAGAAATATGTTCTCTATTATTTCTTTTAATCAGTGTAAAAAATTCTGTGACATTATTTGTCAATTCTTCATCATTACCCATTAACCCAGAGATGACTTTATGTTATTCTTTTTTAATTCGTTATGAAATGAATGTAACAAAAAAGATTGCATAGAAAAATTGTCTGTACATACTGTTTGTTTTAAATGTTAACTCTTCAATTTTCTCATCTATAAGAGTCAATTGTTCTTCGTGCTCTTTATTTAAACTATTCAGCCAATAAATTTTGACAACTATTTTGTCTAAATTGGATGAACTGTTTTAAACTGTTCTTCGAAAAAAGAAAGCAATTTCGATTGAAAATAATCTTCGAGATATGATATCTTTAACACTGGTTCACTTGGAGAACGCTGACATTTACCGATGGACGACGAACCGTTTTCTTGGGGGGGGAAGGAGGAGTGGGAGACATTGGTCCAGGATTCTGCTCCACACTGCCCCTCTCCAATAAAATAAGGATTAACAGTAGTGATAGTAAATGAAATAAAGCATTATAAGCAAAAATTAATTAATTCTTTCGAATACTAACTTGATAATACGAAAAAAAAACACCAAGTTCAAGCTTCACGAAAAAACACACAGCTGTTCCCATTACTGACATGATTTTAGGAAGAACAAAGTCAGAATGAGCAGACAGCAAGGTGGTGGATCTGTGTTGGTGTGGACAGGATTTGGATGGGAGGGATAAAATAGAAAATATATTTATAGAAGGTAGAATGAATTCAACTGTTGTATCAAAATTAATAACTTTTGGATCACTTATTGGGTGAGCAAACTGGGAGTTCCAACAAGATAATGCTGCCATTCATGCATCAGTCAACTAAAAATTGTTTTGCTGAAAAAAAGTAATGAAATTAATTGGCCATCACAGAACCCTGATAGAATGTTTGGGGCATTATGAGTCATCTTATTTATTGCCAAAACAGACAATACAATATTGTAAATGAACCAAAATTAGCTATGATGGATTGTTGGGAAAATATTTTACTGGTTTTTGAAGTTATTCTTGTTTAACTCCTTGGGACTTACCAATTTTTGATATTAATGTAATGAAACGTAAAAAATACTTAAAACTGAAAGAAAATGAAAGAAATGCGTTAATTTTGAAGAAAAAGCTTCAAATTTTATTTTCCTTTGTCTCGCCTTTCTGTGAAATCTGACGCTGATGAGTCATTGTTTACACAGCTGGAGTTGGATTTCCCGAGACATTCTCAGAAGTCTCGGGAGGCGATGGGTTTATAGTAGGGTGAATACTAGCTGGCCGTATATTTTTAAATATTTTTTAAAAAATTAAATTTTTATTGCGATTTCCGACCCCCCCAATTAATTAAACTTCTATATAATAAAATCTATTAATTAAAAAAATTAAAAAACTATCGGAAGTCGTTTTTGACATCAGAAAGCAGCTTTAAATAACTTNTCCTCCCCCCCCCACTTAATTAAACTTATATATAATAAAATATATTAATTAAAAAAATTTAAAAACTATTGGAGGTCGTTTTTGACATCAGAAACTAGCTTTAAATAATTTTACCAAAGTCAAATCCGTGCACTACAACTTTAGAATGATGAATTAAATTTGATATCAAAATCCCATTAAAAAATAATTAAGCGTTAATTGTGCGTCATTAAAGGTTGATTAAAATCGCAATAAAATTTTTTCACGCGGGTAAACATTTTTGAAAAAATTTAGAGACCTAAAAAACATTCCAAAAATTAAAAAAATTGTAAAATGGCCTTAAGGACAGAGTTTTTCGTAACAATATGTAACTGGCCCGAGATATCTCGGGCTTGAGGCTTAAGGGAGTTTTAATTAATTAATTAAATTAAATCAAATGGTGGACCTACAAAGTATTGAAACATCACAAATCGTTTTTTATGCTCTAAAAATTTTAGAAANTAAAATTTAAAAAGAAAACCACTATCAATATTTAATATTCTAGACTAAAAAATTAATCATTAAAAACAAATTAATTACATTTGCAAAACAATTAAAACATTTTTAAATATTCATTAATAAATCTAGAATTTTTTTATAAATACTTATTAAATGGTTAAAATCTTCAATAAATAAAATAATAATCATCATTCTGCAAAATAAATCATATAATAATGTATATATGTATAATCATCATTTTAATGTTTTAACATTAGAAACTAATAACAGTTTCATATTTAATTATAAAATAAAACAATCAAAACTTATCTTAAAATATTGTTTATATTTACAATTAAAATTTAATTGTCAATAGTTTAAAGGATTATTTATAAACAATAATACAATATTGCAACTTAAACAGAATTTTTTAAAAATTTTATCAATTATTTAATATATTTTGCTTAACAAACTATGTATAAGTTTATATATATATTTCATAATATAACAAATAAATATCAAATTATTAAACTGTCAACAGAGGAATTTTATTAAGCAATATAATAGCAATATAATATATAATTTTACAAAATAATAGTTTAATTACATCAATAATGTAAGCAAAAATATTTTTTGAAATTTTATAATTTATTAAAACTATAAATTATCATATAAAAACTAACTTATAATATCTTAACTGCTACATAATTTATTGATTAAAAACTCTCAAAATATCTTTCAAATAAAGATATTTAAGTATTAATTATAAAAAGGTTTCAATTATATTAATAAGTTACAAGTAATATTAACTTCATAAATTTCATTTTAATATATTTTATGAGCTAGCATCTATTGTCTTTTTTCAAATTAATAATTAACTTCTTACATGCCAGATGAATGATAATGTACCAATCTAATTTCTCTCAAGAATACAGTGTCACATCATAACTAAAATTTGCAATATGTGACATTGTATCAATTATTATATTAATGTAAGGTAGATGTTTCACCAATCACAGAAATTTTTACTCAAAATTTGTCTTACACTTTTATAATTATGCAAATGTATGAATATGTTTGTTTATATTTCATGTAATGATAACCTCAGTTTTCATTAAAAAACCCAGGTTAAAATTTTTCATGAAACATTCAATGATATAATAAGTTTTCAAGTTGCTTGATGTTTGAATAAATTATACTGCCATATAAAAAAATTAATATGTATTTTTTTAATAATATATGTATAAAACTTTATAAAAAAAATATAAATAGAATTTATATTTTGTTATAATATTAAATATAAAGTTAATTTGTAGACATATATATATAATGTATATATGCATGCATATACATACATATAATGAAGATTGATTATGCATATACTCTGGAAATGCAAAGTTTCATATAAATTATATTATATGCATATTAAAATTTAAGGAAATACCTTCTGCAAACATTACTAACGCGCATAATTATTTTTTCAGGCTGTTTTTTTTTTTGCAGATAAAGTTATACTTCTCTTAATTTTCATTAAAGAAAAAAACAGTTATTTGCATGGTTATTGGGATCTTTATTTATTTATTTTTTTAAGTTGGCAACCAATTTTGGAAGCTTTTTAATAAATAAAAGCTTACAAAATTTGTAGCAAATTCTTTTAATTTTTATGCTTAGGTTTAAATAGATTTATTTATATAAATCACAATAATATTTTTTTTATGTTAAAAAAATAAATGCATGAGAAAATTTTCATCAAAATATAAAAGGGAAAAAGCAATTTGATTGTAAGATCAATTTTTTAATTAAATATTTAATAATAAATTTACTTTCAAATTTGATATATGAAATATTTATTATAATGTGAGTGAAATACAATTCTTTAAATTCTTTTGTTAATCTATAGAAGTGAAATGCATCATTATTGTTCATGTAATCAGGGATTGAATACTTATCATCTTGGAATAAAAATGTTTTTAAGTTGTTTGTGAAGAAATTTTTTTGTTTTTTATTATTTCTTATAATTTTTTGGAAATGACAGGCAAGTTGCAACTATTTTAAAACTTTTTTACATAAAAAAATTTAATTTATATATTATTTTATCCAACATTTATATTATTTTGTTTTACTACTGTATTGCAATTTTTGATTTTGGAAATATATTCTAAATATATGTAATTATTTAATGTTTTTGTTCTAATTTATTTCTGGAAAGAGTTTTAAATCTATTCTGGAAGAATTTTTGAAAATTTATTTCATTAGAATTTTGAAGTTTATTGCCATCTTAATTATTTTTTATGGTTATCTGCCTATATATTTAATGTATATATTATTGTTTTTTATTGTCTAAGAATTAATTTCTTACAAGTGGATAATTATTAAATTTCTAGATAGCATTTGAGAAAAGATCTGTTTTTGTTCTTATTATTATGTTTCACAGTTTGTAATCTGAATAGTGTATTTACTAAATTTGAATATTTTAAATAAATTAAACGATTTTTTAACTATTTTGATATTATTTTACATTTAAAATTAGGTATTATATATCAATACATATTAGATACAGAACAACAAAAACATAGATTAATACTGTGTAAGTACAACAGAGAAAAAATCTCATTCCATTCTTTGAGATACATAATTAAAAAATTCAAGACTGTACAGTTATTTTGAAAAAACTTAAAATACACACTTAAAAACAAGTTTCAAATCTTATCTTCCTCATCAATAATCATTAATATCCTATAATGTTAATATAAAAATAAAATGCCATTCAAATATGTAATGACAATTTTGTGTTACACTTTTCATATTTGAAATTTCAATATAATTTTTCTAGTAATTTTAAAAACTATTATTATTAAAACTATTGAAGTGAAATTGCTTTAAAATATATTTTGTTAAATATAACTTTATAAATTTAAAAATAAGACAAGATTCTTTTGGTTAAGTTTAATAGGAAAGTTCTTTTCTATACTGATTCAAAATCACATTTTTTAAGGATAATATGTGTTTCAGTTCAAAATTGCATTAAAAGGAATTACTTCATCATCATCCTTCATTATATTATTTATTAATATGAAAACAGTATTTTAAACAATCAGATATATAGGCATAAGCAATATAAATAACTGACTATTTGTTAAATTTAAAATAAAGTAATAAAGCTACAGTTTTTATCGTCAATATACAATGTAATGTTTTAACTGTTAATAATTATCTGATGTAATTTTTAAAACATCTACCTAATTTTAGAATCATTAACTATAAAATTAACTTTAGAAATAAAAATTTGAAAATTATATAATGTTTATCTAATTTTAATAAAAGTCACCTGAACATTTTAAGTATTTACATATGAATATCTAATACCACATTTGTAACCTAATTAGAAATTTATTATAATAAAGTGATCAATTATAGTAATATAAATAATCAACAAATTTTTATTAAACAGTTCTTAACTGATAAAATGCCTGATATTTATTTCAAGAAATCAAAAGTAGTTTGTAATAAAACCATTACATTTCTTATCATAATATTAGCCAAATCATTGCTTAAAGTTAAATCAAAAATAATTTGAATTTAGACAAAGGAAATCATTGCTAAATTAACTAGAAATTTTCTTAAATAAATTAATGAGTAACAAAAACTGTAGTATTTCAATGATATCCAGGATAACACACAGAATTTGCCATCAATTTAACATAAATCAATGATTTTATATATATATTATATATATATATATATATACAGTCGACCCCACTATAACATGGATTCCTATATGACGGCGAAAAAATTGCGACGGTATCCATACAAACATGGTAAAAAAAACTCCTATAATTCAGTAAAACGTCATCGGGCAGCCGAACTACTTTCTGCCGTCCAGCGCCACGCTACAGAGAGTTTAGGCGGGTAAATTGAGTTTA